TACTTTTTCAAAATTGAGTAATTATTTTACAAAACCAGAATATGAGTTTACCTGTCTACGTTTAGATTTTAATTTCATATTATTTTAAAGTATCAAATAGACAGCAAATCATTTTTGGAGATCCGATGATTCCAAAAAAAATAATGAACTAAAATATTTGTCTGTTTTTGATCACGATCAAAAAAATCAAATATTTAATCAGCAATTTGTAATTATGTTGTAATATTTTTCTTCATGTGCTTAAATTACATGATGAAATTGAACAAAATTAAATAACTATCTCTTAATTTATAGTTACAATTTTTTGTTTGGGCCTTAAATTTATAAAAAATTAAATTTAATTATACAATCAATGTTTTGTTAAGTTAATAAAGAAAAAGAAAAATCAACTAAAAGAAGATAAATAAATCTTTAACTCCTTCATATCCTTGTAAATAAATTGTTCCTTCATTATGTGCTACTCATTTAATTTTCTAATTTGGTCCCTTGTTCTAGTATGCTAGTTAATAGATCAATAGATCAGAATCCACAACTTAAGGTACAGAATACACGAATTTAAGATTATCTATTGGAATAGTTATTGAGATGATGCTTCTAGAGAATAGATCTGTTGTCAAAGACATAAAAGTTAATTAAAATTTCAATATGATTCTTTATCTTTTTTAAGAGAGGATCCTTCCAATTCAAATTTGTAGTTGCTCTCATAATTGTAATTTGGAGTGACTGGTGAAGTTTATGAGATAGGATCTGATTTTCTTTATGAAAATATTTGAGTCTACTCTAAGAATTGCTAGGTTGACAAAGGTTTATTGGTCCAAAGTAATTGAGCCAAGAATTACACAGGTAAATTATCAATATTATATTGAGTACTTAATTTCTATTTCACAAATTAATTAACTTATTCGCGATAATATTTAAGATCAAAATTAATTCTGTATTATTTGAATTCATCAAATCGATTATTCTCTTAAATACAATTTACTATTAATGTTGTGTATTAACATTATGATATCATTCTTATTCTTAAACTTATCAATAATTCAACTACCGACATTATACTATTTAATGGTATAATATTTGGAAGGATAATTGTTACTTTTTCTAAAATTGGAACAAATGGAACTAATAGATTAAATAATGCTTATCGACATTTTAATTTCAATTCATTAAAAATAGGATCAATTATTATCAACGATGAACTAAAAGGAATTACTATTACATTATCACAAATGTTAATATTTAAATGTTAGAAAATACCACTAAAATATATTTCACAATTTTCTTGTGCTTATTTATTATCAATAATTTCCATTATTTTCGAATGGATAATTAATGGCGTATATTCAACTACATATTCTGCATATGATAAAATCAAAGTTATTTCATCATCTTCAACTTGAATGTCAGGTTGTAATAATTGTTTCTTATATACAAGAATTAAGGGATATTTTTCAAGATTAATAACTTTGTATCTCAAACTATTCAAAAGAGCTTGTCGTTCAGGATATGTTTCTAAATGTAATTATACATCTTTCAAACATTCCAAATTAATAATATTTTTATTTAGAATTGAGTAATTCATGGAATTTGAATTCATTAAGATTTTAGTAACTTTATTTCTTTTTTTTAAAAAGCAACAACAAAATTATTTATCTTCTTAATCTATATCATCTTTGTTTTTCTCTGATTATAAGGAAGACATAGTATTTATGTATTATTTCATTTTAAAAACAAATTTTAATTCCAAACAAAAATGTATTAATTTTAATGAAAAAGACCATTATTATTATTTAATCTATATTGAAACTTTTGATATCAAGATTTAAATTGTGATATATAATTTTAATTGATAATCGATGTTCTTTTGCAGAATTAAGAAATTTATATATATTTGTAAAAAATATAGCATAAAAAAAAGATAAAATAATTTAAATTCATATATGTGATTCTAAATTGATTAAATGAGTTGAACTTAGGTTCTATGAGACGGAGGATTTAATTTCCATGAAGAATTTTTTTATTTTATTACATCCATTCAAAATTTTGTAAGAACAACGCTTAACTAATTGATTTTAATTTTTCTATTCTGAATCTTCTTGTATTTTTTTTTTCTTCTTCTAATTCTTGGTTCTGAATTCAGCCCAAATAGCTTTAGCAGAAGAATAATTAATTCCAATAGAATGAGCAGCCTAAATTTAATTAGAATAGTTACTGCCTTAATAGTTTATTTTTCCTTGACTACAGCCTTTAGAAATAAATCTTTAATTGACTAAGTTATTTTTAAATACTTTTTTTCTGCTAATCGTGGATCAAATTTTAACATTTCTTTTTCCACTTGCTATTTAATATCGTCTAAAATTTTCATATATTTAATTAATGTGAAACGAATGCACAAAATATTCCATAGATTCAATCAGAAGTGCGTAATTTGAAGCCATAAATTTAATTAAGAAACAAACAAAACTTTATTAAAATATAAATGGGAGGATGTCTTTTTAGAGACAAATAATATGAAGAAATAAGTTCTTAACCTATACAAACTTAATTTACAGATGAGTTGATATTGGATGAACTTGAAGATATAAGGGATGTAGCAAAACTTAAAAATAGTGAAATCTTATAGATAACTTTGCTAAATCAAAAATGTGTTGTTCTTAGAAAATATAATGAAAAAAATATGAATTTACATATAATTGAGATAGTAGGGAATGGAAATATGATGTATTTAGAAATTCACAAATAATTATAGTATGCTTTCATGTAATTAAGGCAATGTTAAAATTTTTTTATTGGATCTGTTACCTTGAAGGATAAATGCTATTTAGTTTTAAGAATCATGCAAGGGTTGGCCGCCTAAGTTTCAGTGTAGGAAATTCAATGTATAAAACAATTATTGTCCAGGTTTGGGCATTTCTGAAAATCTATCAGTTGTCATAAAGAAACGATTCGATGAGAAGTTCTTATGTGTTGGAGTTATCTATATAGACGATATGGTAATCCTAGTCTTTCGACAGATTTTCCTCAAAATCAAATGTCCTGTTATCTAGAAGTACACATCGCCTAGTAATGATACCCTGTGCATTATTTAGTACGAAGGTTAAATCTATGAATTAAAAAAAATATTATGAATTTTAATGTCATCTCACTATATTTCCCTTAAATTATTGTTTTTCTTCAAGGGGGTAAGTTATAAGATGAACTCAATCTCGCAAGGACCTTTTTCCGAATTATTCACTATTTCTAAATAATCCGAGGATAGGATCTGCTTACTTATAAACATACATACTACATTAACATACTATCACAATATCATTCTTAGAATTATGGGTTGTTAATATTATAATATATTGTATTCCAAATCAAATTTTGAATATTAAAATAAATTAGGTAATAATCAAACTTATTGAGGTATTACCTATCATTCAATTTTATCATTCTAAATACCATTATTTATATTTTACAATTCAATATAATAATCTTAATTTTTATGATTAATAAAATAAATATCATGTATCTATAATACTAATCAAATAATGTTACTAATTAATTTTTTATTTTATTATTACCAAAAAAAGGCATCATTCTATTTCTATAATCTAATTGATTTTAATTAAGATAAATAGTAAACTTTATTAAAAAATAGAAAAAAAAGCTTGGTAAATCAAAAAAATTATTTTAAGAACTATCCTATTCACAAATTATTAGTTTATCGTAATTTTGGCTAATAAATAATTATTTTATCATAATTCTAACTAACAAAAAATTAAAGTTAATTTCTATTTATAAGGAACAATATATAATATAATAATTTCATAATAACAGTAAGCTTGTTTTTTTTTAAATCTTTGAAGTATCTATAAAGTTTTTATATCAAATTTAATTTCGAGTTGATTATTTATAAATAAAATACTTAGATGAAAAATAACTATGATTTATGAATTTAATTACTGATTAAATATATATATTTTTATAGTAATTGGAACTTTAAATTATCATCTACGAAATTGAATGAGTGTTTCAATATTTCCAGAAAATTTCTTAATTTAAAATTAAGAATGTGATTTTAATCTACATCATTAACAATATTCGTATTTTTTATTAATATTAGATATTTAAAAGTAACTATTTGTTAAGACACTATATTCGATCAATATTAGTGATAATAAAAATGTTATTGATGAATTTGTGAAATTTTGGATTAACTGCTTAATTGTAGATATTGAATTAGAAGATATGAAATAAATGAATTTGAATAAAAAATAAATTAAAAATAAAATAAGATTTGTAAAAAAACGAAATAAGTTAAAATAATATCAATGAAAGAATATGTATAAAAAAAAAGAAAGAAATAAAATAATAATAATTATATTATTGGAATATCATTCAAATTTAAAGGCTTAGGAATGCAGTTAAGGTGATGAATAAGATTTAAGAGAATGATTCTGTATTATTATTGGTTGTATTTGGTTTGTTTGTATTATTAGTAACATTGGTTGATATATTACAGATTTAACATTTATTGGAATTAGAATTCCAAGTGTATTAATAAAGTGTTTTGGTTAAGCAATCTTCAGATGTTAATGTAGATGGATCAATTTAGACACATTTATTTTGTGCATCAAAATGACAGATGGTATATTATTTTAAATCCCAATCATAATATCCAGTGCAAGTTCCATCAGTTTAAATTTCGCATGTTTTAGCAACACAAATATGTTATGCTAAATCTTAGATGGTGATGGATTACCAGTAACATCTATTAGATAAGGTTTTACAAGCTTTTTCATAAGCAGTTGCAATAGTACAAGAGGTGATTTCTACACATAGACTTTTACTTGTACTGGTAGTAACCCAAGCACATACAGTTGTTTTAGTTCCACGATCACATGATGCTTATGTTTTAAAATCAGAGCATAATTAAATTTAGACACAAGATGATCCATTTTAAATACATTCATCAGAATAGAGTTAACATTAAGTAATAGGATAATCAGAACATTTCATCGGATTACATAATTAATTATTCCATGAACATTTACCATCAGTTCCAGTAGCAGCAACACAAGAATCATAAGTTTTAAGTGTATTGCATGTTGTTTTAGTAATACATTTGGAACCATCAGAAGTACAGGTATTTAATTAAGAATTACACTATTAATGGGTGATCCCTTTTAATTAAGAACATCCTTATATAATACATTTATCATTATTCCACATACATAATCCAGTAGATGTTACATTCCCAGATTGATTAATAATTTATCCAGATTTATCAACTACACATGATACTTCTTTAGTATAATTTTCACATGTTTCTAATTAGATACAACCATTAATTCCATCAGATGTACATTAACCTTAAGAATATATAAAACAATCATTATGATTAAGATAATAAGCATCTGTACACTGTTTGAATTCAATACATTGTTGAATAGCTGATTATTTTGTAGATATAGGAGTCCACATACATTAAATGTTAGCTTAATTATTAATACCTACATAACATCCAATTTTTGGAGTATTAATACAAGTATTGATAGGAATACAATTATTTCCATTGGTAGTACATTATGGATGTATTTTATTACATTCTTGATGAGTATAATAGATTAAATCAGTACATTTAGTATATTTATAGCATTTATCGTTGCTCCATAAACAAGGTCCATCTGTTCCTAATACACAAGATATTTATTTTATAGTTTTAGAACATGTTTTCATTGAAATACATCTTGTACCATCAGTAGTACAATCATTTTATTAAGCATAACAAGTTTAATGATCAACACCAAATAAATCAGAACAAGATTTCATTTTACATATACCATCTTACCATGAACATAATTTCCCATCATATTAAGAAGTACATGCTATTTCTATTTAAACATCTTTACATTTGCTTTTCTATATACAACCACCTCCTAATTTTGTAGTACATTTTGCTCCAGGATAATATTCTTCACAACCTGTTTCTGTCTTTATCGATTCATCTGCTGTCTCACAAGTTTTATCATAACATTTATTATTAACCCACACACATATTCCATCTAAACTATTAAATTTACAACCCTCTGCTATATAAGCATCTTAACATCTCCTTTTTTCTATACAGCCATTTCCATTTGTTGTACATTTCTTTAAAAAACTTGAACATTCTGAATCTGTTTTTAAACTTGTTGGAGCACTCTCACATTATATCATTTAACATTAATCAATTTATGTACAATCACCATCACTTCCTTTTACACAAGAAGATTAATGTTTGTATTCAGAACATTTATTAATACTCATACATCCTCTACCATTAGTTGTACAATTACTACCATACTCTTAACATTATTTATGAGTTGAATATGATTTTGGAGCATGTTAACATTATCTATTATAACATGAACCATCTATCCAAACACATATTGAATCATCACTTTATTTTGTACAAGCATTCTCTTACAAATATGTAGTGCATGATTATAATATATCAAGACAAGATCCTGCAATCCATTAACATTTGGTTCCTCTTGATGTAACCATGCATTAATTAATCTATGAATACATATCACATTTATCAAATTTATTTTAACACCCTTTCCCATTTATCTTGACTGTGCAATTAGATAAATATTCTTCACAAGTTTAGTGAGATGTCAAAGTTAATGGTGCATTAGAACATGAACGAGATTCACATTATTTTTTTTCTTTTATCCATTAACATTTTTAAGTATCATTAATTTTAACACATTATATTTCTACATCAATTTCACCACAAGTCTATTTTCTCAATTCACATCCTGTACCATCACTCTATACTGTGCAATTTTATTAATAATTTCTACATTCTTCATCTGTTTTTAATGTAGATGGAGCATTTGAACATTATCTACCAACACAACCAGTATTCCAACCACATTTTTATCCATTTGATAATTGTCTACATTAATTGATTGTTTAAATTTAATCACATGATGTAAATTCATTTATACAACCTTTATTTGTTAATCCTAATGTACAACTTTTCAACCAAGATCTACATCCACTTTCACTTGTAATTGTTATTGGAGCATCTGAACATACTCTATCTTAACAAACAGATTTCTTTACATCCCAACTACATTTATTATCACTTCCACTCTTTCCTGTTGCATTTATAGTTACCTTTGAACAATGATCCTATTCTAAACCATCACAACTTGTAGGTTATGTAATACAACCTCCACTTTTACCTGCTGTACAATCTGATTTAAAATTCTTACATTACACATCTGTACTAAACTTACTCTTACTTGCATCTGTGCATTATGCTGCTCTACAACTACCAGATCCTCCTGTTGTATTCCAAAAACAACTCACACCTGTACTCTTTATTTAAAAGCACTACTCTCTCATCATTTAAGAACATTCATTTGGTTCATTTGTACATCCTGTTTAATCAGCTTTTACTGTACAAGTGGATAACCAACCTCTGCATAGAGTATCTGTCTAATAAGTTGCTGGAGCATCTGCACACACTCGATTATGACATTATAAATTAGCATCATTAATTGTTATATCAAAAGAACAAAATTCTCCATTTTATAATCTTACATTATTGCATCTTGCTTCAGTTAATCCATTACATTAAGCAGGTTTATCAATACAATTTTCATTATTTGCTCCTTTTGTACATGTGCTCATAAAAGCTTCACATTCAGACGAATTAGTTTTATTTGATCCAAATGAACATACCCTATCCTTACAAACAGGAGGATTAACATTAGCATCCCAAAAACATTATTTATTTCCTACTATAATAGTATCATCACATTAATATTAATCTGTCACAGCTGAACAAGAATTAAATTAATTAACACATCCAACACCTCCAATTCCTAATGTACATTAAGTTCCTAAGGCAATACATAACTAATGAGTCATATCTGATGAAGTATTATCAGTACATTAGAAACTACGACAATAAACTTGTTAAACACTTAAATCAAAAGTACATCTTGATTTATCTTCCAATATTGTATCATTACATTAAGTTAAATTTTTAATTTACCCACATGATGTAAATAAAGGAACACAACTAGTTTAATCATCATTCAATGTACAAGTGTCTAAATAATTATTGCAAGTAGCATGAGTATAATCTCCATCTATTAATATTGGAGCATTAGAACAAGTTCTTTCTTCACATCCATTCCATCCACATAAAACTATATTATTAGGATCTGCTAATAATTTATTACAAAGTTCTGAATTTTTATATCCTTTACAAGTTGGTGGTTCTTAAACACACCCAGTTTTATCATCATTGATAGTACACATAGGCATAAATGATCTACAATTCTCCTCTGTTACATTAGTTGTATCAGCATCTGAACATACTCTAGATCTACAGATTTAAGTCTCATCATTCCAACTACATTTTGATTTATGATCAGCCAATACTACAGCAAGACAGTGATCTTTTGTTAAAACATTACCACAAGTACCAGGCTTTTACATACAAATACTTGGATTCTCTGCAACTGTACAACTGTTATCAAATTTAGTACAAGATTCATCTGTCTATATATCAGGTGGAACATCTGCACAATTTAATATTCTACAGAATTTATTATTTTAATCATCATCATTCCAACTACATTTTGTTCCATTTGTTAATGCTTTACATTATAATTCATTTAAATCTGAACAATTTAATGGTCTAACTTTACATCCTTAAAAATCATCATCAATAGTACATTAAACTAAGTATTCTCTACATTCTGCATCAGATTTAAATGAATCTGGAGCATTTTAACAAGTTTTCACTTCACATTTTTTACCATAATAACATTAATTATTTTGATAATCATATGTACATAATTCCTTAGTTGAAATATTTTAACATTCTTACAAAATACAACCTTGTTAATTAGGTTTAATAATGCAAGTAGGTGAGAATCGTTTGCATGCTTAATCAGTTGTCAATTCTACGGAAGCATTACTACAAATACGAGGAATACAAGCATTATCTTAGAACACACAAAGTGAACCATCCATAATAGATACACACTATTCTTCTTTTTAGTAATTAGAACATGAAGCTTTTTTTGATTCGCATCCTGTTAAATCTTATTATACAGTACAAGTAGATAAAAATATTGAACATTAATCATGATTGACAAAAGTATCTGGAGCATTATCACAAATTTTAGCTATACATTTATTTTGATTCCAAAAACAAGGTTCAGCAGTGATTGTTTATATGCATTGGTTTTCAGTAGTGTATTATGTGCAATCTTAAGTTTTAGTAATGCAACCAATTCCTGATGATTTAACTGTGCAAACTGGTAACCATGTTAAACATTGTTCATTACTTAAATATGAATCAGGAGCATTATCACAATTTTAATCTTCACATTTTTATGTATTTTTATTCCAGTAACATATATTTCCAGATTTATTAACAACACAATTATATGATGTTTATAGTGATGCACATAATTCTGGTATAACTTGACATCCATTTTGTGATTCATTAACTGTGCAAGTAGGAAGATACGTGTTGCATAGTTAATGATTATTTAAATTTGTAGAAGCATTCATACAAATTAAATCTTTGCATTTATTCTCATTCCATAAACACTTTTAAGTTTAATCAAGATTTGTAACACATGCCTCTTATATTTTTTAATTTTCACATTTCTCTTGACTTGTTTCACATCCTCCTCCTTCCTTTGTTGTGCATGTTTTTAATTATTACCTACATAACTAATCTGTTTTAAGAGTGATAGGTAATTATTCACATGTTGTTGGATAATCACATAACTATGTTTGAGTATTCCAAGTACAATACATACCGTTTTAATCTTTCAGACAACTTATTGAATTCTCATAACTAGTACAATCACTCAATTCTATGCATTAATCTCCATCAGTTATACATCTTTCAGATATGTTTTAACATAATTCTAATGAAGTATAAAAGAATAGTGTGCATCCAGTAAACCATACACATTTTTCTTATACCTTAGCACAACCTTCAGTTGTATTGCATTTATCTATTGATATCAAATCACAATAAGATTATATTTTTGGTGTTTCAGGTATGTTTGAACACTTACTTCCATCCCAAGTGCAATTAAGTATTGGACATTCTTTTTAATTCTAAAGTTACTCACAAGAACACACTTTGTTTGAAGTTGATATTTTTGTTGTTGTAGTGCTTGTAGACTATGAATAGACATAGCATTATATTAAAATTAGAAGTAATCCTACTTTTATCATTTATATTTTAAATATCAAAAAAATTATTCATTATATGTAGGTTTTAGTATATATTTTTTTTAGTCATTTTTCACTAAACCTTTATTTATATTTATACAAATTTAAATATGAGTCATTTTAATTAATTACCCAATTTAATAATTATTTATATGTAATCTGGATAGCTATTGAATTTGTAAAGGCTGGAAAGATAATACTTGTAAACTCTTTCTTAGAATGGATGGGAATCTCCTGTTGTAGTTAATGCAGCAGTTGAATTTGCTAACACTTTAATAAGGGATGGAAGAGCACTATTAAAATGTGGTAACAATCCTTAAGCAGAAATGTTTTTTAATCGAGCAAAAGAAGTTGAACAATAATATTAATATTTAGATTACAACTCCTATTTCAATGACCAGTGGGATATTTTATACAGCAAATTTTGTTCGAGCAAGAGGTAATTCAATTTTGTAGATTGTGTAATTGTATGAGTAATAAAATCAATATCAAAAAGCTTGGATGAATATTAAGGAAGTATTGCCATTTATGGAAAAGTTTGCATATACAAAAAGAATAAATATTAACGAAGATGATTAACTTGTTTTGAAATTATATGTCTAATTGCTTTTTCATGGATGTGAAGTGTGTAGAATGATGCATAGAAAGGATGATATGTTGGATTAATGTAATAAATATGTTGAAATTTTAAATCGTTTGGGTATCACATTCGATTCTTTAAGAAATCTAACAAAGGACGAATTTCATTAGGATTACAAAAAATGGTTTTTGATGTTAGCTAAGGCTTTTTATTATATTGGCAAATCCTAATTCAAGGTGGGATTCGAAAAGGAAGCATTACGTAATTTGTACAAATCTTGGTAAATTTTTGAATTGATATATGGGTTGGATGCACCTGCAACTATAAAAGCAAGAGATAAATATGAGAAATTGAGTTAGAAAATGGAATTTGAAATGATTATGGGAAAAGAAAAAGTTGACTTTTAATAATTCAAAGATGATTTGCAGAAAGACGTTGGTTAAGAATTACTCAAAAAAGTAATTACTCTTAAGCCAAATAAAAACTTTAATGTATTATTTTTATAATTCATACAAGCATCATATCATTCAATAAGTGAAATCATATCAACAAATTGTAGGATAATTATCATAACACACAACTAAATACTAAATGCCAGAATATGTGAAGAAAGTTAGAATAGAATATGAAGATAAACTGAGAACAATATCATTCTAATAAAAACATGAGGAATCCAACTCTAAATATAAACAATATCAAATAAAAAATAAAAAATCTTCATCTAGAGCTATCTCTACTTATAATTAATCTCTTTTACCATAAGAAAGATTGTTTTCACCTAAATTATCCAATGCAACTTAATCATAAAGAACAAGTCTCTATTAATTAGACAATCATATGGATTAGCTTAAGTATATTATAACCATTTTCATAGAGAATAATTGTACACAACTGAATTGAAGAAGGATACTACTGATGAATTACTTTTATCTAGGCCATAAATCAAATCTGAATATGTTTTACAAAAAAAGAAAACTGATATTAAATAAACTGAATCAGCTCAACCTATTAAAAATATTAGTAAAAAGAAATTCAAATCCAATAGAATGATTCCTAGAATTTTAAATAAATAAAGTACTCAATTGATCAATCTTAAATCTGAGTCATAATAGAGTGAATAAAAAATACATAAGATGCAAACTATGTAAGAGTTAAACTTTTTATAATAATGTGATGATCTTCGTCAACCAACCACAGAATCTGTATTAATATAATAATAGTAACAACAATAATAAACTTTATAAATTCCTCTAATATAAAATGTATTAACAGAAATGTCTGAATAAAGTGAACATCTATTTGCTGATTTACTCACTAAATATACTATGGAATAACTTAATCTTGCTGCTTCTATAATTCAAAATGCATATAGGAAACATGTTTTAAATATAAAAAAAATTTAATCTGCCAAAACTATTGAATTAACTCCCATCAATCTCCCTAAACCAGTTAATGTTACTTAAGTTAGTGAAAAAATTGATAGTTAACAAACAGGTAGGAATTTAATGAAAGTTTCTGTTAAAGATATGAAAAATTCAGTGAGAAAAAGAAATTTTGGATTTGATTCAATTGTGAGAGAAATCAAAAATACTGATTCTGATAAAAGTAGTTCTAATAAAGCTAAAACTGTATTCTAAATCAATTTAATTATCATAGTTAGTATAAATTATCAAAGAATTTTACAGTTTGCCAGAACCTGAATTGTATTTTCTATCTAAGATTTTCTTTGACTATGAAATCAAGATATGGAAACTCTCTAATATATGTGTTAGAGCTTATAGTGATGCTAATTCTTAAAATTAGTAAAGTGAAGATGAATAAGAGATATAACATGATATATCACCAAGCGAAATTTGTATAAATTTATAATAATTTAAATTAGCACATTAATTACAATATATCATGAATATTTTTGCAGATGTTCAATCTATTAAAGCATTATAATTAATAGTCTATTTTAGACTATCAAATGATAAATAATAATACACACTTAATTTCAAAATTAATAATTTTGCAAATTATTTAGATGAATATTAAAAATGGTTTTCAAAAGATCGTCTATAGAATTTTAATGGTTTATTAAGTATTTATTGTAATTAATAATCTCTACATCAACCTAATAAATGTCAAGCCATAGTATATTCAGCATAAGAATATGCTCATGAAATTGTGGGCAAACTTTTATATGCCTTAAAGAATCATTTTTATTTAATCAGATCTGTTGTTGGATTTAAAATAGTTTCAATGAAGGATGTTATCCAAAATCAATTACAACATGAAATAATTGATATAAGATCTTATTACAAAAACAAATAAATTGAAAAAGAGAATAAAAGATTAATGCTCTTAAAATAGTTTAGAATAGATCCAATAAGGATTATTGAATGTTAAACAGAAGAATTACCAACCATATCATCATCAAGAAATAGAAGACAATAATTATACACAGAAGAAATTAAATAATCTTAAGAATAAAGCATTGTAGTTTAAGAATCTGAAGATAATAAATCTGAATATTCAAAAGGAATCACATCCTAATCACCAACTGATTAAAAAAATTATTCGAATCATTATAAATCTATTGACAATATCTCAGAAAAACAAATCATTCAAGAAATTCCACAAAGAAATCCAAAGAAATAATACTCTGTTATTCATAATAGAAATACAATGATTAGTCCTAGATTTGATAATATTATCTCTTCATAAGCCTTGATTCGTAATAGTGTTTAAAGAAAAACTCATGGAAGTCATTTTTTAGAATTTTCAAAAAAACATAATTTATAGCTAATAAAAAAAGATGAATTGAATTTTGAACCTCCACTTTCCAAATAAAGTTTGGATGAGTAAATTAAAGATCGATCTTAATCAGATATATAATTTCTAAATGATTATCTACCTGAATTTTAATTTGCCACTTTAGCTAATTTTGAAGATTATAAACCATAAGAAGGACCAACTATTAATTTTAAATATTAAGTCAATTATAAATCAACTTATTTTCCACCTAGAGGTTAAATAATCTACCCTGAACCTGAATAATTTCTTCCTGAGTATCCAGATTAATTTATCATACTGAATATTACCATAAAGAATGATAATCGAATTAAAACTGGGTATGTGTATTATGATGAGGGTTAAACATATTTAATAGTTGATAATAAAGATGGAAACATTACGAAGCAACTATTATAAATAGATCCCGGCTTTAGATTACCAAACCGTAAAAAGAAACTATAGATTTTGAAATAATTATAAGAAAAAAAAAACGAATCTGTTAAATCTTCCCTAATTTAAGAGTTTTTACAATATAATTATAGACATACTCTAATTTTGCTTGAAAGATACGTAAGAAGAATTAATCATTATAATGAGTTCATATAGAATGAAATCTATTAATAATTATGCAGCAATCAAATATTACCCCCAACTTCAATTAAATGCCTTAATTATTCAGAAAAAAAAGTTTCTTTGGAATTGTTTTAAGATTATGTTAGAACAGAAACTGAAGAGAGTACTTAATTAACTATTGAAAAGGCTATTTCTTAGATCAATGAAGATGAGATAAAGGATAGTAAATCTTTCCTAGCTTATAGATCGAAGTTTAACATAAATAAAAATAAATTATATTACTTTTAAAGTCATTTTAATTTAAAGGTTGAAGTTTGTTTTCGAGAAACAAAAATTCGGGATACAAAATTATTGTATTTAAGTGACTAATAAGCAAAATAAGATTTAATTGTTTTAAAGAAGAATATGCACGAATTGATCAATAATCAGAAACTTTAGTTGAAGATTACACTCTACAATCCAAATAAAAATTTATATTTTTTTAGAACTATTAACACTGTTGAGGATATTGAAAAAATGCTTCATATCTTTGTTAAGCCTTAATTGATTGGTTATTAGATAAAATCATAAGCTAAAATGCAAAGAAAATTGATAGGAAGAGCTTTGTAATTTCATCGACAGTTTGTAGATTTGGAGGAAAGAAATAGAGATAAATTTAGTGCTTTAGACTAATTTTTATTGATGTATATAATTGATCCTTTACAATTCATAAATAATGAAAATCATAGATTGTTAAAATAAACAATCCTATTTTATTATTTTAAATAGCAATTGAAGTTGACTTTAATATCATCTAGTCGTTTGAGGTATTTCATGAAAACATATTTTCATCTCAAAACTTTTAAGGCTTAAAGTAAAGTTAGTAATATTGGAAAGGTGTTTGTAGAATGTGAGGTTTATTAGTTTAATTAATTTTATTTAGATCAAGTAAACAATGATCATACTTATTTCTATTTTCAAATAACTCCTTAAGAGAGTAGAACTAAGGTTTTTAAACTAGTTTTAGATATTGCAGATATAAAGAGTCTCTACAATAAGGTGACATCACAAAACTGTTTTAAAGATAAGGTTTTACATGAAATCATAAAAATCTTGACTGCTTATCTAGTATGTTAAAGAACAAATACTTATCATGGAATAAAAATTCCTTTGTCATATATTGCAAATCAATCTAAATATGATCTTCATAATACATTCACTGAAGTTACTTATGGAAGTAACATTCTTGAAGAACAATAAAATGCAAGATCTTCACATCCAAAATTATCAGTTTTAATGAGTGATCCTACTCTTAGAAAAAAGTCTTAAGCTTAGATTATGGAAGTTTAAATTGATAATTTGTAATTACCCGAAGAAGCTAATAAAGTATTAAAAAATACAACTATGCTTACTCCAATTTTTAGAGGATAAAAATTTATATACAAAACAACTAAAATTGTAAACAATATGTATGTAATAATAACTATATCTTATCTATCTTTAAACAAATTTCAAATCGGATTATATATACCATAAACATGCAGAAATTTTAGTTGCTATATATCATCAAGTGATTTCCATAATATGAATCCAGTTTTTTTAGAATCAATATTTCCATCTTGTTTAGTAACCAAAGAGACTATTGATTAATTTTACATTAATAGATGGAAATTTGCAGAAATGAATAAAATTTATCAAATGGCAGTCAATCATCCAGATGAATTTGAAGATTTTTATAGTGAGATGCGTAGCCAAGCTAGAGCAATTCCATAATCTGAACTTCAAAAATTAACTGAAAGCAAGGTTTCTATTAATTATGAGGAGGAATTTTTAGAAAAACCATATGATGATAATACTCCTAAAATGCTTGAATCTTTTAGTGATTAAAGCAGATAAAATGCAAGATCATCAACTTAACCACCTGTCTTTGTAAAAAAGTAATTTTCTAAACAGTTTTCAGTTTAAAATTCTATTGGTCAATCAAATCCTATGAGATTATCTTTGCCAACCTCATAGTTTTAATAAAAGACAGATAAAAGTCTCTTTTATAAACATAGCCCCAGAATATCAAATTAATGTAGTGTGGAAAATCTGTATTCAAGTGATAAAGATTTATTCTTTAATTAAGTCCTTATAAGGAAGAATAATCTTGATATGATTTCAACTTTTGAAATTAAAATTTGGGAATCTCTTATTGACAGAGTTTAAATTTCTAAGAATACTTAAAATCGATTCATACTGAATCTAGATACATTCAAAGGGGTTTTGAGAGAAAATTTATATACATAAGTTGTATATTTGGGTAATGAAGTTAATGCCTTATTTGAAGTATTTGTTGAAAATGTTCGAAAACCATTCAATATGTCTAAGCCTTATTTCCCCATTAGATTAAATGAGAGTCAGAATTTTTAAATGTATTAAAGAATCACACTTTTCGAACAACCAAAAATAGTCAATTTTAAAATGATGTTAAGAAAAGTATTATATAGTTATTACAATGATGAAAAGAGAAATCTTCAGAATTTAAAGTTGAATGATTGTAGCGTAGATCAATATGAATTCATAGAATCTGATATTTAGAAGTGTTCTGTATACATGCTTAACAAACTAAAAAAGTAATTAAAATTGAATCCCTCTAAATTTATTGTTTAAGAAGTTGAAGGGGATGAGAAGTGCCCATAAGTAATTAAAGTAAATGCAAATTATGCTTAATATTCTTCTTTCAAAGTATGTATTAATATATAATATTTAGGCTTACTAATATACATTATTAAAAAGGATGGTATTTACAATGAAACCAACTTAGATACACGTCTCAATTTTTTATTAAGAAAAGCGAAAAAAGTTTTGCTTATACTTTGAAAGTATGAAAAATTGCAAAAATACAATTGTCAAATATAGTTTAAAGGAAATTCAACATTGCATTCCAAATACAATCGGGTTGTTGAATTTAGGCCTACATTAGGAATTGGGAAATAGAATATATCGTAGTTTTAAAAACAGACTTTTGGTCTCAACATATCAATAATTATTATGATATATATATATATTTATATTTACTAAATTTAATTGTCAGATATAGATTAGTATGCAATGGATATTATAATTAAGTTTAAAAATAAGAAAAAAGAGTTCTTGTGAAATAAAGGTTTATGGTAAAGTGCAAATATATGAAGACTCTCAATATATAGTAATATGAAAAAGATGTTGAATTTAATTTATTAAATGCAATGAATTTGGATAGTGATATTATATTTTAAAGGTTTATTAGTTTGAATAAATGGTAGAAAAATTAATAAAAATGTAAAAATTATTTCCCTTAATTCTGTTTATTTTACGAAGAATTAAACAATTTTAGGGTAAGAAAAGAATATTCATTTAAAAACAAGAAGCATATAAGGTAAAGAATGAAGATTCCTTAATAAATTCTTATTCAGTAATATTTAATTTAAGAAAAATGGTTGATTTATTGAGAGTAAATATATTAAAAGAAGGATTGGTTAGGTATGCTATCGATAATTAAAAAAAATCAAGCAAAGGGAAATTAGACGATATTTAAAATTGTTTTAATAAGAGAATCTTAAAGAATTAGTGTGTAAATTTTAGATTAATTATGGATTAAAATTAATATACGAAAATTGGCTAATTAATGTAAATCTTTTGTTAACTAAAAAATTTTATGAATAATATTTATTTTGAGCATTGATTTATTATTCATAATAATACTTAGGGTGGAAATTAAAATTGATTCAAAGTTGAATCCTTTTTCATTAGTATTCTCCAAGTTTATAATAATGATATTTTTTATTATTCAATTTTATTATCATTACTTCTTTAGTAATAATAAATATATAATTGATATTGTATATTTAATTCTGATGATTTGCACTCAATATATTGATATTAATTTTAGTAAAATAAATAATAAAATATACATATATTATAGTTAAATTAGTTGTCTATCACCTCTTTTTCATTTTTTATTTAATTTTTTATCCCTTTTTTCATGTGCACTCTTCTCAAATTCTCTTATATAGAGGAATCTTTTCTCCATATCTTCTGCTTTATCCTTAATATTCTCTAATTTCTCATCCATCATGTTAAACGAATATAATTTATAATCATTGATACTACTATAATTAAACTTCATTAAAAAATTTAAAGTAATATATGAAAGTATATGAAATAAGAAAATTCAATAATTAAATTTTCCATTCTAAGAAAATTATCACAATAGAAACAGGAAATTTAGTTCTTGAATTAGCACACAAGGATAACATTAATAAATTAGGTTTAATCTATTTTATTTGAATTTTATAATAGTTAAATCTTTTAATTAAATAATTTTTATTAGAGAATTACATATTTATAGTAGAATAAAGTCTTGTGTTTTAGTATCACAATTTTATTTCAATTAGGATCTTATAAGTTTAGAAAAAATAAAAGTATTTCCATTAACAGGATTCCAACCTTCTTGGCAAACCCTATTGATTTTGATTCCACTTCCTTCATAATTCTGCGAGATTTTAATCAAGAATCCTTAGATTAATTTATTTCTATCTAGAATTATAAGAAGGTAGACAATTTCTCGCCTTAAAAATATTTAAAATAAATACATAAAATGAACTTTAAACGAAACTCTGAATATGTTATAATGAAATGAAAGTTAAAATATTGAACAATCTCTCTTAATCATTTCAGTTTGATTTGTGATGCCTAAGAATTAATCATATTAAATAACTAATGATTTAAGTCATAAAGATTGAAGCTGTTAATTTTAAATAAATGTCTTTTTATATTACCTGCATTAAATTATTGTCTCTCCAATGTTATAGTTATTATATTGAATTTAATTTCTTTTATTTTATTAAAACATTCGTATTTAAACATGTTGAAAAAACTTAAAGAAACTAATAATTTAATAAAAATAAATTAGGTTATATCTTCTAAAATTATGAAGACTAATCTTGAAGAATATAATAGAATAGCAACCGCTCAATATTATTCTAAGAGCTAAGTATAATAATGTATAAAAATCTTTAGGAATTAAAAAAAATGAATAGAAGAGAGTAAGTTGGCAAAGCTTTAGATATTAACCCGTTATTTGCTGAAGCTTATGCATTGTGAGATCGAATAAATTTAATTAAATTTTTAAGTGAATTATATTGAAAGGTTGAAAATGTATGACTAAGCTTGGAAGATCTGAACAAAAGTATTTAATTAGTTGATAAATAAATAAATAGAGAGAATTTCTATTAAAGAGGTTAGTATATATATAAGATTTTTAGCAACAATATTTTTGAAATAAATCTTAAATGAAAAAGCAATGGAAGATTGTTAAAATGTTTAGAAATAAATTCAAATTTCGCCAAGGCATACTACATAATTGGTAGGAAAATATAAAAAGGAACCATTTCGAATGATTATGGAAGTCAAGAAGAAGCTCTAATGACTTTTAAACTAGTAATTAAAATGGAAAATAATTGCACTTAAGCTTTCTTTTTTTGAGATTAATTAGTTTAATTATGTTAGGTTAATTATAAATTGGCATAGATGATAATGACAGAGCGTTAAGTGATTATAATCAAGCTATTCTATTTGATCCCCTAATACAAAAGTGATGAATTATTTATACTAATATTAGGCAATTTATACATAGACAAACATTGATGAAAATGAGAAAGCCTTAAGGGACTATTAAGTGTTAACTTTATCCCAACTCATTTAATGTTATTAAGTAATCTTGGTGATTTATATCACACTCTTGGCAATCTTACTGAAGCTTTTGTTTGTTTTTAAACACTTTAAACAACGATTCAAAATCTCACTAAATAATAAATATCTAAATTTAATTTTTATGAATAGAAAATAAAACTACTTTATGAATTAGATTAAAAAATAACTGAAAGTAAACTAAATCTTTCTAAACTCCCTACTTAAACAGAATAATAAAAGAAGGTGTTCTACCAAAAGGAATTATAAGATATACAAAAATCTATACTTAAATTTTACCCAAACCCAAATCAATAAAATAAACCTTAAAAATAATAATTATTTAAAAATTAAATTATGCGAATTTTACTTACATAAAATATTTAATACAATAAAATGTAATAATAAATAGATATTTTGATAAAATAAAATAGAAATTAAAGGGAATTACTTTTAATTGATCTTGATAAACCAGAAAATAAACATTTGGCGGCTTTTATATTAGCTACGAGTTAAATTTCTACAGATTTATAAAAATAAACACTGATACAATAATAGAAAGTACACTAGAAAACAAAAGGTTTTCAAAGTTGCATCAGTTGTTTCTAGACCAATCCCTGTTGTTGGAGATGCTTTTGGGATTATTAATGCTGCACTAGATTATTTCATTGAAAAAAAGAATGAGCATAAATTTAATAGAAGATTCAGATTTTTGGGTGAAATTTTAATTGAATTTGCAGTTAATCCATAACAATTAGAAATAGAGGTTTAAATGGCAGCAATTTAATTTGGAAAACAGCAATAGCCTAATATTAAAGAGAGAAAAAGAGCAGCATTTCTTTAAAAAGTAGATGAATATAGAAACAGAAGATGCTTTAATCATTTTAAATTATTTGGTAAAAGAATTAAAAATAGATATTATAGCAACAACAACAAAAAAAATTTAAGAAATATTTGAAGATGCAATTTAATCATCTTAAAATAATTCCTAAGCAACACAGATATAGACAACTTATTCCTTGATAAGTTAAATCATGTGATTCAGATATTTTAAATAACTTTTATTATCACGTCTCTTTTATCAAATTTTTATTTAAACTATTTAGTAATGATATTGTAAGTATTATTTCTAAGAAATCAAATGAAGGCATAACTTTTAAAGATGAGAAATTAAAATAGATTTATAATGATAATAATTATTTTAACTCTTTTTTATTTAATCCAAACATAATAGGGTTCAAAATATTGTAATCCTAACCAAATCAATGATTATAAGTATTTATCATTAGACGGAAGATGGGATGTAAAATCTTGACAAAAAGAATTTTATGGTTATTTAGATAAGATTTTCTTTATCTAGAAATTGTGACACTCACATAATTTTAGATATCTAATGATAAAATATTCATACTAATAGGAACATTTATAAGTGAGTTTATCAATATTTTATAATTAAAAAATGATGATATTAATTTTAGTTATTTTAATAGTATTAAAGACAAATATATTGTTGATATATCATAAATAATAATAATATTTATTAGAAACTTAAGAAAATTAATGGATTAAATGGAAAAGAAAACTGAAGTTTAACATAAAACTAAATATTTTAGAGATTATTCAATAGTATAGGCTAATTCTACATAATTTAGAACATTTCAATTATTCTAATGCATAATTTTGTCTTGAAGAAGTGTTATTATTTAATCCTGAAGATTTATATTTAGCAATCATATTGGCTGAAGTAAGAATTATGATTTTAACAGAAAGAATAAATGTTGAAATTAAAATTCAAAAAATATTAATTATTATTGTTTTTTAATTCAAACCCTAACGAAACCAGTTGTTTAAGAAACAACAAGAGAGAAGAAAATGATAAAGTATTGGGTATAATTTTTATATAGGCTTTGGAAAAGTTATATAAAAATTAGCCAAATAAAATATTTTAATTAGCCAAATAAAACATTTTATTTGAAAAAGTAACCTTGAATAAAATAGTGAGTTAAACATATAATATTAATTTTATCTAATCTTAATTATTATATCACTTTAGTAATGAAAAGATTAAAAATTAATTCATTTAACTCGAAGGTGACTTCTTTATATTCATCATCAAATTCTTACCATCTTTCATCATTTTCAAATATCTATTCATTCATAATTATACTTACTTCTTATTTATCCTTTTGTTTAATAAATTTTCTCTAACCTAAGGTAGGATATCATTATCAATCTTAATTCTTTAAATAAATACATCCAACAAAAATTCAACCCATTCTATACTTTTAGAACCTGAGATATTTCAAGTTTTCTCTATATCTCTCATTTGACAAGAAAACACAACTTTAACCGAGTTAATGGATACCTTCTTTCAAAAGGTCTAATATAATCTAATGATTCATTATAAGCATCAAATCTAGCTACTTCTGTGAATCGTCTCTATTTCATTTACAAAATTTTCCTTATGAGAACATCTTTATTCTATGTATGTAAAGATTTCTAATCCTTAATTTGATTAATTGCAAAAATTGAATTTTTAACTATTTATTTTATCTTCAAAAATTAACAAATATATCATAAATTAGTCCATGTCTATTTTACATTTTCTACCTATCCCTTACAAAATAATTAATTAATTTTAATCCCAAATCTATGTTGAAAGAGTCTTATTTTATTAATTTGAGTCATATTATATTAATTATTATTTTCATTAATTAATGTTTTTTCTTTTATTTTTAAATCATTTAAATGATTCTTTAACAAATTTTTCTAACTCAAACTACTGAGATTCATCAACTAATCAAAATTATCCAAAAAATAACTTTAATACTAATTTTAAATCTTTCTGGGATTTTCTTAATAGTATCATATACTTTTTACCATCCTTCTTTTATTACGTTATTATTTTAGAAAAGTTTTATTTTTTCCACTCTCCATTAAATTATCTTTTCTATTTAACTCTAAAAGTACTATGTGATATTCTCTATTTTATTAATAAATCTTTTAGTATTGTTTTCTCTCTTTTTTCTCTTTAATTAATCCGATTACCTTAGGGAAAATATCTCTTTTTTCTAAATTCAATCTCTCTCTCCTTTTAATTTCGACTATGATATTATCTGTAAACACATATCATTATTCAATTTAACTTAAAATTTCTAAAATATAAAACTTAGCAAATTTGTTTTATTTATATATTCTTCATATAAATTAGCATTAAGCCAATTTTAAATACATGTATCAGCTTGAACTTTCAATTCAATTTCAAAATTTTTGGATTCTCCTATTGATATGCACCTAATTAAATGTATGTTTAATATCTGTAATTCTTAAAATTATTATTGAAAAAAATATTTTTTGAAATCATTTATAGAAGCACTATAATTATTTAAAATTTTATCAAAGCCTCTAATTAACTAAATAATTCCTTCAATAATTCAAGTGCTAAAGATTTCTTATACTATTTCCAATATAACTTGACATGAGTAGTTTACTTAATTAGAAGAATCTCTAGGAGGGAATCTACTATATGATAATGAATTTTCTTTTCCATTTCAACAATTAAAAATTTATGTTTCATTTGTTATGAATATTGTAGTCTTTCGATAAAATTGCTTATACATAACTATAGCCACAAAGCATAAGCTCGTAATTTAAGATAAACTCTTGGTTTCAATTTTATTTAAAAAATTGAAACCAAGCCTATTAAAATGATCTTAATAATTGCTTTGTTTTGTTTCATTAAGAAAAGGGACCGCATTTTTTTCTATGAACATATTCAAGTGATAAAAACTCAACAGTTTAGCTTTGTATTCCTTTAGTACTCATCTTTTTTTTTACTTTTAGAGGATTTATTCTTTTTGTTTTAAAATAATTATTGAATCAACATTATGATAATGAGATTATTTTTTTTGATTTTATAAGTGATTTTCCAACTTTGAGTACATGTTAATATTACTTAATGTTTAATTTAAAGTTATCATATTAGATAATTTAAGTAGGATTAATAGAAGCAGATTGTCGAATAATGTTAATTTGAGCATTTTCTTTTTTTATATTTAGCACTCAATTTGATTTGAAATTGTTTTTCATTTGATAGGGGAATAGTTTTACATTAAATTTAATTAACAGCCGAGCACATAATATATTTTATTAATGTCTTATTCATCAAGATATTCATCTAGCATATCATCTACAGTACGTTCTTCAGGAATTGGTGGTACTACAACAAATACATCCCAATACTAAAGTACCAGTACAGCTGATGTACCTCAAAGACCTAGCACTTAGCGTAAATCCATTATGTACTTATCTATTCATTATATTAAAGGGTAAAGGGTTAATAGGAAGCTGTGAATGTGAGTGTACCTCCCCCATCAAAGGAACGAAAATGGCTTGGTGAGAAGCCTGAAGTTGTGTGCTTTTTACTTGCTTTAGAAGTAGACAGACTACAAAGAGAAAACTCAGATCAAAGAACCATAATAAATGAGTTGTAAAGTAATTACACAAAATTGCAAAGTGATTATACAAGTTTGTAGGACAAGTACAATATTGAAATGTAACAATATAAGTAAGAGAGATGAGTTAATTATTAGGACTACGATAGATTAGCAGAACATAAGAATAAAGTCACTTGAAGATGAAATCAATCAATATAAATCAAAGTTGGGATAAGTAGATAATTCATTGGCTAGTAAGTTATAGTAGGCTGAGTAGAGAATTAAAGATTTGGAACGATAATTGAAGGATTAGGAAAGTAAATATACATTAGAAATAAATAATCTAAAGTCTTCTTGGAGTACTGAAAGGAGTAATTATGAGAGTGAGATTAAGAGATTGAAATTGGATATTGAGAATTATTTGAAGTAGATACAAGATTTGAAAGGAAATTCATCTTCAGAAGTAGATAGATTGAATAAGAGAATCAAAGAATTGGAAGCTTAGATTTAAGATTATATTCTGAAAATAAAAAATTATGAAAGTTAGATATCTGATTTTTAAACTAAATTAAGGGAATGGGAAGCTAGAGGAAGAGATTATGATTCTAAAATAGCACAATATTAATCTGATTTAGATTCTTTGAGAAATCAATTAAGAGATCGTGATTCAGAAATTGAACGTTATAAACGTGATTTAGATGATTGGAGAAATAAGTACAGTGACTTGGAATTACAATTTTCAAAATATAAATCTAATTCAGGAGGTGAAACTGAAAGACTCAATGGTTTGTTGAGAGATAGAGAAAATGATATTAATAAATTACAATTGGAGTTAAGAAACACAATTGATTAATGGACATCTAAATATGAAACTCTAGAAAATCAATACAGATAAGCATAGAGTGAAATTGAGAGATTGAATGGAGTGGTTAGAAATTTAGAAGATGAAATCAATAGATTAAGATAACTTATTGATTAAATGTAAAGAGAAATTGATGATTGGAGATTGAAATATGGAGATTTAGAAAATAAATATAATTCAGCTATTAGAAATTATGAATCTTAAATTAATGATCTTAATTCTCAATTAAGGTAATATTAATCAGATCTTGATACTTGGAGAAATAGATATGGATAATTAGAGAATGAGAATTCTAATTTAAAGAATAATAGTTCAGGATAGGATAATTTTATTAAAGAATAAGAAAGTATTATAAGAAGATTAGAATCTGATTTATAAAGGGCATAAGATATCATTGCTTAGAAAGATTAAGAGTTGAATCGATTAGCTAATGATCTATCAAATGCTGAATCTAGAATTAGAGAATTGGAATTCCTTGTTTAATAATTATAAGCTTAAATTGATGATTATCGTAAAGAAATTGAGAGATTATAATAAATGATTTAAGAAAGAGATCATAATCTTGATATGGCTGAAAAGGATTTAGAAGAGGCTGATAGAAAAATCAATTAATTATAAAATGAAAATGATACACTTAATGAAGAATTGAGAGATTATAGATAGAATTATGATTAAGTATTAAAGGATAATGAATTATTAGAAAAAAAAATCAGTGATCTTGAATCTAAAACAGTATTTTTAGCATAAGAAATAGATAGATTAAAACTTATTTTAGAAAGAAGAAATAAAGAGATTGAAGATCTAAAAAGTTAGATTTTAAAGTTGAAAGCTGAAATTGTTATTCTTGAAAAATAAATTACAGAATTCCGTCAAAAATTGGATGATAAATTAAAAGACTATGATGATTTAAATAAAAAACTTATAGAGAGAGTATTAGAAGTTTAATAATTGAATTCTTAATTAATGATTTTGAATCAATAACTTGTTTAATTATAATCAGTAAATGAAAAATGTAAAAGTTAAGAAGATTAAATCAAGGATTATCTAAGATAATTAGATGAATTAACAAGATAATTGAATAAGGCTCAATAAGAAATTAATTTATTATAAGGATTTAAGGATAGATTACCAGAAGCAGATAGAAAAATTTAAGAACTTTTAAAAGAAATTGATCGTTTACAATAACTTTATAAGGATAAGGTTACTGAAAATGATGTTTTATCATAAAAACTTAGTACAAGTGAAGTTGAATTAAATAGAATTAGATTGATTGAAAAATAGTTTAATGATTTTAAGAAATAAGCATAAACAACTGAATAAGAATTTACAAGAATTAAATAAACATTTGAATAAAAAGGAAATGAAAGTGATAAATTAAAATAAACAATTGCAAGTTTAGAATAATAATTATAAGATAGGAAAGTTATGTAAGATAAATTAAAAGTACTTGAATAACAATTAGGTAACAATTTATAGTTATAATTATTAGCATAAGCTCAAAAAGATTTAACAAATTTAACTAAAGATAGAGATAAAAAAGATTAAGAATTGTAAAAATTGAAAGATTAAATAGCTGTATTGTAAAGTACATTGAAAACTAAAGAAGATTAATTTAATTAACTTAAGTAATAATTTGATTAGAATGTGAATGAATTATCTAAATAAAAATAAACATCAGGATAATTAGAAGCAAAAGCATCACAAATAGGATTGATGAATGATAAATGGACAAGTTCAGAAAAATAGAATAAATAACTATAGACAGATAATGATAAATTAAAGAAAGATTTAGAATTAAGAACAAAAGAAAGAGAATAATTGAAATTAGATAAAGTTCAATTAGAAAATGACTTATTAGCTTTCAAATCATAGGTTAGAAAATGAAGATTAAATAATAATAATCAATAATAAAAAATATTATTAATATTTTTAATATATCATTAAATTTTCATTCTTTATATTTTTGTAACTTATCAACATTTAATTTCTCAAACTTTGAAATCATTATTAGAATAGGTTCAACACAAAAATCAGAAAATAATTGAAATTTCAATAAAGATATCTAATATCTAATAAATATTCTTATTTTCAAAAATGTACAATCTCCTCCTTACTAGTTTCAACATTAAAAATAATCATTTAGTTGAGCCATATATATTCAAATTTCTTAAGTATTTTAGTATTATAAAAAAAGATTATTTATTTTTTTGAGAGATATAAAGACCAATTAGAAGATTTAATTTATTGTATTAAATTATCTAGACAAAAGTCTCTTTTAATGATAATTTAATATCTTATTATTACTCATTAGTAGTAAAAATATGGCAGATTGAAGAGAAAACAAATCCCTACATTCTAATCATTTAAATCTGATTTAAAATCATACCTATTACTTTTTTCATATAAACTTACAAATATTGATTATGAAATATCTATTTCTGTAGAGGGAAAGTACTAGAATTAAAATTAAAAAATGGGAGAGTAAAATATTTTTGGCAAGTTTCATGTTTTTATATTGTAAATTTTACAAGATTTTATTTGTATTTTTTTTATAAATGACATTATATCTTAATTACATCGTTCATAAACAAAATATAAAACTATAAATCAGTATAGAGTTAAATAATTTTTAAGTAAAACTGTTGTAAATAAGAATTTACAATTTCTTTTTTAATATTATATGCAATTATTTGTGAATAAATTATATTCTTTTGATGTAAACCCAGCTTCATTTATATTGTATATAAAAATAAAATTTTTATGATCTTTATATGTTTATGCAACAGTGTAATTTATAAGTTCATCTATATGTATTTTTTTTTGATTCAAATCCTTCTTATAACAAGTGAAAAATAAAATTTTCAGAATCTTTATTCCTAACTACAACAGCATAATGAGAAAGCCCCACTCTTTATACTTTTGTACTACTAGTAGAATTTAGAGGTCTTTTGACTATTTAAAATGTTATTAAATTTTCGTTGTATCCTTTTGGTAACATTGTATTTTAACTATTAAATAATTTTTTTTTTTATTTCCATTTAAATTGGACTTAATAGAATTTATGTATCTGAACTCATATAAATTTTAAAAATTCAAATTAAACCGATTATTATACTGAAAAATAAATATTTTAAAATTCAAAAACGAGTCAAATCTATTTGTAATTTATAAAAAAACATATTGAAAGTATTTAAGGCTCATGCCTATAATTTGAAGAAGAATATAAATTTTTTTTTTAATAAAAAGAGTGTGCAAAGCGGACTGTGTATATTTCCAATAAAAAATACCAATTCTGAATATTATATACTTTTTAAGATTTTAATAATAATTGTCGCAACTAATTGATTTTTAAAGTTAGAAAATTTAAAAATTAATACTATTGTTAAAATAATTTGGCTAAATGCTTTTTCTACATTTTTTGAGAATAAAATAATAACAATTTATAGATAAACTAATATAAAATAAAATATAATCATTATTTTGCCTTAATATCCAGTATATGTTAAAACTTTGATTCTTTGGGTTTTCCATATTTTTATTCAAATTCTTTAGTTTTTAATCTAGAAGCATCTTCTAATTTTTATTATAAGAATTATTAAGATGATTTACTCTGTTATAATCTTCCTAATAATAATGTTTCTTGCTATTCTAAATAATTCATTAAATTTTCTTAATCCATCATAGATTTTGATAACTGATGTTTAACTTTTTTTTATTCTTCTTCAAATTTTCTTACTCTTTCATCCCAATATACTTAATAATTATATTTAGATTAAAATTCATTTAATTAGACTTTGTTTCTATTTGTTCTTTTTTCTTAATAAATCTATTGTTTTTATTCCTCAATAGATTTTTAATGAAGACTACTGATTTTCTTCATTTATTGAGCTTGTTACTCTCGTTCTTTTTCTACTTAGGCTTTGGCTGATTTAATTGCAACATTAAGTTGATATCTCCTTACTTAATTATCTTATTTTTTTCTATATTCACTTTATGGATCATAAAGAGACTCTTTAGCTGATTTTAGCTTTAATAAATTTTTAATGTTTAATTTACATCTTCTACTATATCGTCATGTAGTTTTTTCTTCTTATAAACAATTTCTAATTTTTTATTTGGAGGTTTCTATAATTATTATTATTTAATAAGCATATTAACTCTGCCCATTAATTACTCTATTTATCTCTATTGTTCTACATTCTATTATTTTAAAGCTAAAATAGTTGGGTCCTAATAATTCATTAATAAAAATAAAAATTAATAAACTCAATATATTTTACAATTAAAGTGGAAGTCAATAATTCTTGATAATTACTTATACTTTTGTATATATATATTTTTAAAAAGGTAATATGAAGTAATAAATTGTAAATTTATTTTGTTAATTTAGTAAAGAATTTTCAATAATTTAATGGTGTATTCTATTTAGAAAATAATTACTTCTGGATTGATTAAAAACAATTAAATTTATTGTAAAATACAGTTCAATAACATTTGTTTAAATTATTTATAGATTATATAAAATGTTAAAGATTAATTCTAAATCTAGGACAACTCTAGCCAGTACTCCATAATCAACAGCTGAAAGCAATAGATAGAATTTATTAATTTGGGATTAAATGTTTGGAAATTTTAATAATTCTCTTAAATCTAGGAATTAGGCATAGAGATTGGCTGCATAAAAATATTAATTGATAAATGATCCAATATGTACATCATCACCATTGTATAAACCAAACCCATTTTAATTTAATGAAAAGCTTAGATAAGGTTTCAGAGAATTTTTATGTGGTGAACGTACTGCTCTAAACTTAGTTAATGAATGTAATCACTTAAATAGAAAAGAAACAAAGTTAAAAAATAGGATGAAATTAATTAAAAGAGCTAATATGTTTGCAAATTAGTTATAACTAGGAAATAAATATAAGTCACTACATTAATAAGGATTAACAGATGAGGAAATTGAGAAAAAAGTGCGAGTATTTTAAAGATTTGAGAAAATTAAGAAACTAATTTAAAAGAACTCTTAAACTGAACCAAATGAAGAAAACAATCTTAAAGATGTATAACTTTTTAGACAACTCTATGAGGTGAGTGAAGAGAACAAAAATAAAATAAAATAAAAAAATCTATTAACAGAGAGAGCTGATGGACAACGTGAATTTAATAATGTTAAATATACATCTCATGGATATTTAAGAGTTAAAAAGGTTGAAAAATAAAGAGGTAATACAGCAAATATTGAAAAGAAATCATTCATCAAATCAAAATTTCGAGATGCTATTAATGATTAGTTAAATGGATTTATATAAGAGAGATAATAAAAAGAGAAAGATATCTTTAATAAAGCAAAAAGAAAAATGTTAATGAAAAATAATTAGTATAAGGAATTTACTAAGGATAAATATGTTTTGAATGATCCTTTGAGTTAGGATGTCAAATTATATGCTTATATGTTTATGAAAAATAAAGAAAAAGGAATTAAAGCAGAAAATTCATAAAGAATGTGTTATACAGCTAGGAATGATGAGAGACCTAAACATTTTATAAAGAATTTTAATAATGAATTAACATCTCGTAATGTAAGTATGTCAAATGATTCATCTCTTAATTCAATGCTTGAAATTAATATAGATAATATGTATAGAGCAAGTAATGCAATCTAAAATTAAATTCTTTAAAGTGATTCTGAAAAATTCGTAAGGAGAATTAAACAGTTTTAAAAAGTCTAATAACTCAATTTTGAAATTATTAAGGTGAATCAATAAAAACTTTCATCTGAACGTAAGTCCATTTTGTTTTGATTATTTAATAAGTTTATATATATATATACTATTTTATTGAAAATATAGTTTAATATAGTTCAATATAATCTAAGGTTTATAGATGACTTAAACTATGTAGCTAAAAATTGTAATATTTTAGAAGATAAATTTAAAATTGGTTTATTATACAAAATTAAAACTTTAATATCAACAAAATATATACAATTTAAATAGATTGTAAAATTAATTTAAATGATGTTTTCCTTAAAAATTTTTTAAGATATTAAATATTATTAAGATAATTTTAAATTAAAGTGGTGAGATGGATCAAAATCATCTAAAATTAAACTTTAGTTAGTTCATTGTAGAAAAGCTAAATTCTTACACCGATGATTATAAATAAGGAGTAATTCGAAAAATTAAAAAATAGGGTGTATTGGGTGTTTTAGCATTTTCATAAGTTAGAAAAGTTATACATCGTAAGACAAGAGCGATTAGAGCAATGAAAGTAGGATTTATAAAAGTTTATAGGTAATAAGCAAATCGAGATTATCAACGAATTATAATAAAAGTTTATAAACGAAATCAATGTTTATAAGTAATTAAACATCCACATATATTAAAACTATATGAATTTATTAATATGAGAAAAACTATTACATAATCATAGAATTATGTACAGGGTATACTATCCAAAATCATTTAGTGGTGAATTATTTGACAAGATAATAGAGAAAGGTAGTGTTTCAGAGAAGGAAGCAAGTTAAATTTTGAAATAAATAATGTCAGCTATCTTAATGCTTAAATTAGAAACCAGAAAATGTTTTATAATATAATATAATATGTTTATTAGATATTGTAAGTTAAGGAAATGACAATATTAAAGTTTTTTGATCGGGGAACAGCAAAAATCTTTTCACCCAACTAATAAATTAATGAAAAATTTGGGACACTTTATTATATGGCTCCAGAAGTTTTAAAACTCAATTATAATGAAAAATGCGATATTTGGTAATGTGGAGTAATATTATATATTCTTTTATTTGGAGTACCTCCATATAATGGTAGAACAGATGCAGAGATTTAGAAGAATATTTTGAATGGGATATATATTAGATGTAAAATATATGATTAAATATATATATAGGGTGAAGTTTTGGATACAGTTAGTCCACATGCAAAGGATTTAGTAATAAAAATGCTTTAATATGATATGTAAAAGAGAATGAATGCAAAATANCTGAACGTAAGTCCATTTTGTTTTGATTATTTAATAAGTTTATATATATATATACTATTTTATTGAAAATATAGTTTAATATAGTTCAATATAATCTAAGGTTTATAGATGACTTAAACTATGTAGCTAAAAATTGTAATATTTTAGAAGATAAATTTAAAATTGGTTTATTATACAAAATTAAAACTTTAATATCAACAAAATATATACAATTTAAATAGATTGTAAAATTAATTTAAATGATGTTTTCCTTAAAAATTTTTTAAGATATTAAATATTATTAAGATAATTTTAAATTAAAGTGGTGAGATGGATCAAAATCATCTAAAATTAAACTTTAGTTAGTTCATTGTAGAAAAGCTAAATTCTTACACCGATGATTATAAATAAGGAGTAATTCGAAAAATTAAAAAATAGGGTGTATTGGGTGTTTTAGCATTTTCATAAGTTAGAAAAGTTATACATCGTAAGACAAGAGCGATTAGAGCAATGAAAGTAGGATTTATAAAAGTTTATAGGTAATAAGCAAATCGAGATTATCAACGAATTATAATAAAAGTTTATAAACGAAATCAATGTTTATAAGTAATTAAACATCCACATATATTAAAACTATATGAATTTATTAATATGAGAAAAACTATTACATAATCATAGAATTATGTACAGGGTATACTATCCAAAATCATTTAGTGGTGAATTATTTGACAAGATAATAGAGAAAGGTAGTGTTTCAGAGAAGGAAGCAAGTTAAATTTTGAAATAAATAATGTCAGCTATCTTAATGCTTAAATTAGAAACCAGAAAATGTTTTATAATATAATATAATATGTTTATAATATATATAATTTTTAATCAATCTGTATTAGATATTGTAAGTTAAGGAAATGACAATATTAAAGTTTTTTGATCGGGGAACAGCAAAAATCTTTTCACCCAACTAATAAATTAATGAAAAATTTGGGACACTTTATTATATGGCTCCAGAAGTTTTAAAACTCAATTATAATGAAAAATGCGATATTTGGTAATGTGGAGTAATATTATATATTCTTTTATTTGGAGTACCTCCATATAATGGTAGAACAGATGCAGAGATTTAGAAGAATATTTTGAATGGGATATATATTAGATGTAAAATATATGATTAAATATATATATAGGGTGAAGTTTTGGATACAGTTAGTCCACATGCAAAGGATTTAGTAATAAAAATGCTTTAATATGATATGTAAAAGAGAATGAATGCAAAATAAGTATTGGAACATTCTTGGTTTTAATAATAACATCAAGAAAAGGCTGATAAACAAGTAGTTCAAGGAAGATTAAAGAATTAAAGGAATTTTAGAACAGAATGAAAGTTATGTTTATTGGAACTACTATGATTTCAAAGGAAGAGAAAAACTAATTAGTAGATATATAATTATTCAAAAAATGTAAGCTTTTAAAGAGATGGATTAAAATGGAGATGGCATATTGACAAAGGAGGAAATCTTAGAAACTTATAAAAAGTATATGGATGATGAAACAGCATTGTAAGAAGTATAAAATATAATGGGATTGGTTGATATGGATGGATCAGGTACAATAGATTACACTGAATTTATTATTGCATCGATGGATAGAAAAAAAGCAGTGTAAATGTAAAAATTAAAAGAAGTAATATAATATTGCGATTATATAACATTAGGCATTTTAAATATTTGATAAAGATAGAAATGGATTCATTTCAGAACTCGAGATAAAAGAAGTATTAGGGCCATCATTAACTGTAATTGATGAAAAATATTGGTTGGACAAGATTAAAGAAATTGATAGGAATGGTAATGGATAAATTAATTTCGAAGAATTTTGTGAGATGATGATGAAAATCAAATAATGATATATAGAATATATTCATCTTTACAAAAAACGTTCTAACATAGCTTTCATCATCTCATCCATTTATGTATGATATTGAATAGCACGATTTCCAATTTGAATTGCTTATTCATATTATTTTTCAGAAATCTCAAGTAAATAATTATCATAAGGTAATTCCATCACATCTTTCCAAACTGTGTAATGCAATTCTAAAAATAAGATATGAATTACATTCTAATTTATGTAAGAGATTTATATATTATTCTTTTGCATTGATATGAGTATTTTTGGATTGAGTAAAAAAAAGTTCTTTATCCAAAAAATCAAAAGAAGATTCAAGTTAATCATTCATCATTTTAATAAGATATTCTGATATCACACTTCGCATTAAGCTAAGTAATGAAATAGATTCTTATTTTTTATTTGGATTTTCTTTTTCTCTAAATAATTTATCAACACTCTTCATAAAGAAATCTACCTCTTAACTTTACATCTATTTAAAAGAACCTATCATAATTTTAGATTCTAAAAGTTCTAAAGTCTTATATATATCTTATTGATCATTAGATTCTAAAACTATGTTTTATAAATTTATAAAGATACCTTCTTATATTTTTTAATGAAGATAATTGAATTCTTCAAATCTTTTACTAAAATCTTCTGGTTATTAATGTTTAATCTTAGCTAGTTCTTTAATATCGCCTTCAATTAATTTTTCCTTAAATTTAATTATAAAATATACTTTATCTGCAATTATACGTTTTATCTTTTCAATGAGTTCTGGAAATGTTTCCCTCAAAAACAATTTAATGTCTTCTTTTTCATTTTTAATGATTGTCTATTCCATCTTAAATGAATTTATAAACTACATTAGAGTATTATTGATTACTTCTTAATAATGTTCTTTATAAATTGTAAGACTTTCTTCTTCAAATTCAAGATTATCTTTTGATCTAATTTCTAGTTTTTCTAATGCTGTATAATACTCTAATTAAGATAAAAATTCTTTAATTCCATTCATTTTATTATATAAGTCCATCAAATGTTACTCATGTTTATGTACATATGCATATACATTTATTGATAATAGTATAATTAATAACATAATTAATAATGAATAAAGAAGGTCCTGGTTTCTTATATAAAGTATATTCTATTTTAGAGGTATATTTTATTCAATTTAATCTAGCATTCAGATTATGATGATATCGTAAGTTGGAACGATAATGGAGATGGATTTCAAGTTAAAGACATTAATATATTTCAGAATAATATATTGCCCAATTACTTTAAGCATTCTAATTTTGCCTCATTTGTTAGATAGGTAATACATACATTTAAGTATAAAAGTTGAATATGTATGATTTTCATAAAACAGAAAAGAATTCCTTTAAACATAAATTGTTTAGAAGAAATTAAAAGTAAAATATTATAAAGACAAGAAAGAGACTTGCTTCCATAAATTAAAAGAAAAGTTAATGATTAAATTATCATACTTCCAAATATTGAACAAATTAATCAAGAATTGTCTATGTTAATCTTGAGAAATTAAGAGTTAGAATCTGTGTTTACATATTTAATTCAAAAAAGTGACCAATTAAAAAAAGAGAATGCCTTTTTATGGTAAGAATTATGTAAGATAAAGTAACACTTATTCAGATTTACTTATCTAGATAAAAAAACGATCATTAATAAGAAAAATTGTTCGATTGGCTTTCCAATAATATCAGTGCGGAGTCTCTATTCAAAATTTTAGAAAAAAGTATTACAAAAAGAGATCTCATTAAATTGGTTTCTAGACTCTTCAGACAAGATCAATAAAATAAAAAAATCAAAAAAGACTTTATCATTTGATTTATCTTATCATGACATATTTCAAATTACTGAGCATGATGTTATTCTTATTCCTGGGGGAGATGCAGGCATATAAACTACAATTTCAACTTTTTTTGTTTATTCTCCATTTTTCAACTAAGCTGATATATAATAATTGCTTCCATTTACTATTTATTATTCCACATTTAATATTTTATCCCATGAATATCCAGAAGTCCCACTACAAGATGCTAATTATTATCTAAACAATTTAAACTTTTAAAATTTTATTTTGCAAATGCAATTGCCTATCCCAATCCTTAATCATTTGAATCTGGTTTGAATTTACCACCTGCCATTGGTCTATGTTGTTTACATAAAATGCTTGATAACACTAATAATAATATCAATAATTTCATTAATAATAATAAATATAATCATAATTCTTTTTTTTTTATTTTTATAAACTGCTATTTTTTTTACAAATACATTTTTCATTTCAATTTTGCTTAAATAAAAGGATATTGATTGTTAATTATTATTTGTTATTCATTATATATTAAAATAATCAGATTCTCTTCTTTTTTTTATTTTTCCTTTAATTCTTAATTATAATCTCTAAAAACTATTAATTATTTTATTTTAGAGGACAAATTCGAGTTTTGCTAGAAAAAAATTTACTCAAAAGTTAAAATTTAATATAAATAAATTTGTTGAGAAAAATCTTTTTGGATTATTATATTTATTAGCCGTTCTTAAAAAAGATAATTAGTACAAAATGTTTAGAATTCAATACTTAAATTTAAATGATATTTAGAAATTAACCGTTATTTAATAAATAATAATTTATTATTATAAAAATACTCAAATAATATCTTAGTACTTTAACTAAAATAAGAGTAGAATAGATTATCTATTTTAGAATTTTTAGAATTAAGATAAAAATTTAATCAAGAAGCTAATAATAGTTGTGAAAAGAAATAACAAATTCATAGTTTAAACTGCTGGATTTATTATGATTATTAATTAATAAATACGTTTTAGTATAAATATTAATTAAAATCAATTGAGCAGATGATGTATATTACAGAATGTTTGATATTTGCAATATGGTTAGATTTCAATTATAAATTAGTTTATATAGAGGACTTAGTGATTGTGTTTTTGACATTATCACAAGACCAGATACAGAATAAAGAATTATTGAATAAGACCTTAGTTCTTAAGTAACAAAAAGTTATGGATGGGGTGTTTGGACAAAGTATTAATCAGGATATGGGGTTTAAAAATAGTTGAATTAAGCAACATCAAGTATGCATGTATTGACAGAAAAATATTCAGAAAGGATTATATTGTCATATTTTATAATTATAGATAGAGAGAAACAAATATTTTATCATAGATTATTTATTTAATATGGAGGAGCATTATAAATTAGAGAACTGAAAGTAAATGTAGGGATAGCAAATGAGAAATGGGTTTTTTATTATTTTTGTTATAATGAAGGTTTAAAAAGTTATAGTGCATTTTTGTATGTTTAGAATGATAATTTTCATGTAGGAATGTCTAAAGGAGGACCTTATGAAATAAATGATTTGGTGAAAGAATATTATTTAGGATAAATTATAAATGTAAATAATTAGTATAATAAAATTTAGTTAATAAATCCATTTGATGATTAGTTAAATTATGATTTAGGCGTATTTATTGGAGCAATAAGTGATATGGATTTAAGATATGGAGATAGTAGTTATTATGGGGAAATTTAATAATTTTTAGATAATATAGAATCAAGTTAATGCGTAAAATAATTGGATTGTTCAGAGAGTGAGAAAAAAACAATATTTGGAAGCATAATTTTTGATAGTTTAGATAAAAAAGTGTTTTAGAAATTGAAATATGAGAAATCTCGTTTTATTATAAGTGGATGGGTGAAAGTTAATTAGGTTTAGGCATATTAAGAGAGAATATTAGCATTATTTAGAATGAGTTTAAAAAAGTAATATGAAGATGATCTTAATTTTGGAGATAGATTTTTATTATGGTAATATTTATAAAATTCAAATTAACCTGATGTATCAGGTTTGATAATAACAACATATCATTAATATGATCCATATACTCCTTATGTTACAAATAATGATGATAAGATAAGTTATTTGAGTACTTATTATAGTAAGGCAATAACATAATGGCATTGGATTATTTATGAAGAAGGAAGAAGTGAGACAAATAATATAAAGAATACTATTTATTGGGGGAATGGAGGTAAAAAAACAAGAACTGATAATAAATATTTAGAAAAATCTCACCTTTAAGAAACAACATTCTATTTATCTTTAGGAGGAGATAATTTTTATAATTTTGATGGTTAAATTTCAAATTTTGAATTTGAATATTGTTATGATAATGACTAATCTTATTTTATAAGTATAATAATTATAATATAATAGAATGTCATTCAAGTTGTGAAAGTTGTTTTGGTCCAGCAGAAAGCCATTGTATAACATGTCCTGATGAATTAATTACAAATAGAGAATATAATTAAGATCATAGTACTTGTGGATGTAAAGTATCTTATGTTGAAAATGAATAAACATAATGTGTTAGTAATAAATATATTTTAATATAATTTAGAAAGCTAATAATATTTTAAAGATATTACTATACTAGAAGGTGAAGAAATTGATTAATTTGCTTGTGGTTTAGGTTAATTTTATGTTTAATTTGGATAAATAACATATTGTGTTGATTGTCCAGGTAATATGGAACCTGATTTTTTTAATAGACGTAAATTATTTTGTGTTGATTGTCTAAATTAATAAAATACATGGTATTTAAATCCAGTGTGTACAGTAGATTATGAATAACTAATCTCTAGTTCTACAAGTGCTTATTAAAAGGTGACTAGATCAGCAATAGATTATGAATATTTCCTTATTAATTTTAATTCTAAAGTTAATCAAGTAGAAATAGAACTTTGTTAAGGATGTTTAGGAGAAACAAATAAGAATACTAATTATATTGTAAAATTATAAATAGAAAAAGAAATTAAAATTGAATGTAAAACATGTTATTTTGTAATTAATGGAGAATGCATAAATATAAACAAAAATTGTGATTCTTGTGAATCAGATTAATGTATATCTTGTTAATAAGGATTTGCACTTTATTAAAATTAATGTTATTAATGTCCTATTCTTTGTCCTAATGATTGTATATTTGATGGATCAAAATTGGGTTGTTTAAAATGTGATCCAGGATATTATTTAGATAAATAAAATAATGAATGTTTATAATGTGGAGCTAATTGTTTAATTTGTGAACCAGGTATACCTGTTGATGGAGATACTGTTTAAATGCATTGTTTTAAATGTTTAGATGATAAAGATTACTTTATTGATATTGATCAAATTAATTGTAAACCAAAAACTATGCCTCATTGTATATATCAGTATTAAGAATAATATTCGCGTTCTAAATTTTCTAATTCTACCTTTAAATTTTATTTTTAAACAAGTTTACACTTAAATTTTTCAAAACCTTCTTTAGAAGTTAATGATAGATGTGCACTTTGTGAAAAAGGTTACATATATAGTTTTTATGAAAAAGAATTTGGTAAGGATAAATGCATGTTATTTTCATAAATAACTAATTCAGATTTCCAATTTTATGAAAGTGCAAAAGTTTCCTATGAATCTGAAGATGATCATTTTTAAATAATGTTATTTCATGAGGATACTGGTCCTGAATATAGAAATTATGTTACACAATTTATACTGATGCTTGGAGACTATATGACTGAAACAACAAATTATTATGGGTTTAAAGTGGAAAGGGATGTTACAGTAATGTGTAATATAGACAGAAAAAGAAAGAAGAGATTGAATATAGGTATAAGTGGTGATGAAAATAGATTATCAGAATGTTCAGTAAATCATTGTAAATATTGTATCAAAAATTATATATGGTTTTATGAATATTGTATGCTATGTGAAGAAGGATATTATGCAGATATGCATTCAGGTTAATGTTATTTATGTTTAAGCAAATTGAATTGTAAGACATGTTAAATGTAACATAAAGTTTATAAGGATGGATGGAAATGGGAAATTAGAGCATTTTATCGTGCTAGAACATGTGCTGATTATTGTATCGGTAGTTTTAGTTTAGATTGTGCTAGTACTAATACAGACGATTATGAAGTTTATTGCACATCATGTGAAGAAGGATATGAAATTTATAATTACAAATGTATTCCTAAATGCAGTTGTACTAAATGTATTATTAAAAATGATCTTAATGTTTGTGTAGAATGTCCAACATCTTTAATAAATTAAAAATAACCCATTTAAACTTTAATCAATAATCAATGTACTGATTGTCCTGCTAATTGTGCTCTATGTAGAGAATTAGATCAATCTGAAATTTAATTAATCAATCCCTATTTTAATCCTACTTATACTTAACTTTCTATCTATTCTAAAGCCTGTATCAAAGGTAGTTAACCAGATTAAACACTTATGTAATACTAATATATTTATCGTGATCCTATCTTAAATACTCAGATCTTATGTAATCAATATTAAAAATGCTATTAATATTTATAATAAGAATATACTATCTATTGCGATAGAGATTCTTATGATGATGATATCGTTTCAGCTAATAATATCAATACTTTTAGATTCTAAAATATGGCTTTATCACATTTATTTTCAGAAAATCATTTCTCTATTGAATCTTAAAAACTTTTTGATGAATTAAATAAAAAATCTATTAAATCAGCTAAATATATTCTTAATTTCAAATACTCTGCTGATAAACCTTGTATTATACCACCTAATTCTCTTATATTTTCAAATCTTAGAAAAAATGTCTTTACTTTACAAAATTTGGAAATCATTTTAAATGGAGATATTAATAAGAAAACAATTATAGAAGGCGAATTTTCTTTAAGAGATTTCACTAAAGTTATCTTTTAAAATTTTTAATTTGTCAAATCAACCAAAATAAGCAAAATATCTATTACATAAACTAATAGAGTTATTGTTAATTTACATAATATATAAATTTAAAATTCTGAAGATTTTCAATTTCAAATTTATATTAATGATCCTTAATATATTTAAGTAAATAATTTACAAATTATTAATTCAAAGATAATTAATACTTAAGGGATTATTGCTTATTCATTTAGTAAAAATATATCTGATAGATTTTAATTTCATATAAATGATATTACACTTCGAAATTCATAATTTATAAATACTTAACTATTTGTTTAGATTTTATCAGAACATTCTAATAAACAAGATTATAAGGCCACTTAAATCAAAACATTTAATAATAAATTAATTTCATCTTCCCTATTTGAAACTTACTTTCCCTTATCAAAAAGACAGTCAAGTTTCATAATTCAAGATTTTTCTGTTGATGGAGATAAACTTACAAATTCTAGTTATGCAATTTTATAAGGTGCACTTGATGTATTCTTGAAAGATATAAACATTTAAAATATTATTGCTTATGAAGGAACAAAATTATTTTAACTGCCCTTATTTGTTGTAAAAGGATTCATTTTTAATGGCAATAGTCTTTTAGGTAGTGATAATCGAGTATTCACAAATGTAATCAATATAGTATATTCTGATTTGGATAGTATTAATAATATATTATCATTTGAAAATATTAAATTGATGAATAATTAATATGTGAGTAGCAAAGTGTTTATGGAAATTATTTAGAGCAGTAATTTTCTTTCTTTGGATCTCAATATCAAAGATCTTACATTAATTAAAAATAATATGATATTGGAAAAAGTATAAACATCTAATACTTTAGAAAATTCTACAATTTATTTGGATATAACTTTATTGAATTTGAATAATGTAATTGTTTAAAGAGATCTAAACTTACCAGAATTTACAATTAAGAATTCGAAAAAGGTTTTTATAAGTCAATTTGCAGGATAGTTGATAAAATAATTTGATATTTTGCATCCTTCAAAATCTTGTCTTTCCTCTATAGATGAAACAAGATAAACAACCTTGTTTTTTTTTTTCAATATCATAGATTTAGAAATTTAAAATTTTGTAATAACAAATTTAACATCTATAAATTTACCTTTGATTTTGATAAAATCTATTGAAAAATAAAACAAGAGACAATAAGAAAAAATTACTTTAAAAAATTGTAAATTTATTCAGAATATTTTAATGGTTACTAAGACATCAGAATAATTGGGAATTATAGCAATCCTATCAGAATAAGAGTAAAAAATAGTATTTGAAAAGATTTTGTCATAAAGGAATATTTAACATAGTTATGTAGAAGATGTTGCTTTTATTTCATCTTCGACAGTGCTATTAATTACTCCATAATCAAATGTTGAATTAAAGGATTCATATTTTGAAGGGAATATTGTAACCAATGGAGAGAATTCTAATTTAATTTTGATTGGTAAATAGGTCTTAGTAATTGATACAAATTTCATAAATCAAAATAATATAGAGTTTGAGTATTTCTCAAAACATTTAAATTGGGGATTTTAAAACGATGAATAAGTGTACTTAGAAGATTTAATAGAAGCATTTCCAATAAGTTCGAAAGGAGGAGCTGGATATTTAAAGGGTTCAGTGATTTTATTAGAGAATATTGTTGTAAAAAATACTCAAGCATAATTTGGAGGAGGTTTCTATTTGATACTTTAATCTGAGGGTTAATTAAAACTGATTAATTCTTAGTTTTTCGATTGTAGTACAATAACAAGTAATTCTGAAAGATCTTAAGGAGGTACTTTATATGTAGATTCATCTTAATCATTATTAGATTTAATAATATATAATACTACAGTCATTAATTCTTTTAGTAGAAATGAAGGAGGATGCATTTATGTAGAACCTTCGAGAGTAAATAGTTAAATTCAATTTAAAGATTTTATCATCTAAAATATTTATTCATTAGCTATTCCTTTTTTAAGAATTCCTGTAAGTTTTACAAGCTCATCTTTAATATTATCAGTTTAATTTTTAAATGTTTATATAAATAATGAATACAAAGGTTATTTAGACTATTTAAAGGAAATAGTTGATCTAAAAAATACTGAAATATCTAATTAAAAAAATAATTATTTAATATCAATAGATTAAGGGAATGTAACAATGCAAAATTGTTTTTACAAGAATATTTTTAATTATGGGTTCTTGAATTGTTTAGAATGTGAATCATTAATATTTATAAATGTTGAAATTAAAAATTTTACTATGTAGTAAGAATCAATTATAAATATCATATTAAATAAAAGTAATAATTGTAGAAAATATTTTAGAGTACTAAAGTGTAATAAAATTTAGTGAGGTTACAATAGAGAATATGATAGAATTTAAAGGATTGGTTGAATTTCCATAGGAGAAGCTGGATATTCTTGTAAATTTGGTTTATAGATGTTATTCGAATTTAGTAATACCACAGTCATTAGAGACTTATTATACAGAATAGAGAAAGGAGATTTTATCACATATCAATTTCTATTAGATAATTTATGGTAAATAAGTTTTATAGACAATAATTAAAATAGATTAAGTTTCGGCTTTACATCATTTTCATTTTTAAAGTTTTAGTATGGAATAAAATAATTGCCCCAGTTGTGAAAGTAGTATCTTTTAAATAACAAATATTGATGAGGTAGAGTAAACTAATCTGATCTATTTTAGTGATTCAAAATTCAAAAATAATACATGTGGTAAACTTGGATGTGTAGTAATATCTTCTAATGATATTAAAGAAATTAAAATACAAAATTTAAATAGAATATTATAATCAGATTAGAATGTAAATAATGTTGAAGCTGAAGTAAAGATAATAGATACTCTTTTTGCAGAAAATAAAGCAACTTATGGAGGAGCTTTATTGATTTCAAGAATCAGTACAATTATAAATAATTGCATATTTAATAAAAATGTAGCAATTGAATCTGGAGGCGCAATTTTCTATTAGCAAAGTTATGAATCATAATTGTATTTATATAATTCCTTAATTACCTACAATAATGCTAATATTGGAGGAGGATTGTATTTGGGAAAGTATCAAATGAATGATCCAAAAACATTAAATAATTATTTAAGAAATAATAAAGCAAATAGTTTTGGAGATAATATAGCTGATAATCCATCTTAATTGACTTTGATGATAGGGAGTCAATAACTATTGACAAAAAGAATCATAAACAAAGATGATTAGGTAGTTGATTTGGTCAGTCAAGGAAAATATCAAATTGGATCCTAAACTTTTGAATATATAATGATTCCAAGTGGACAAGCAGTGTCAACATATAATTTTTTTGATGAAAATACTTAAAGTTTTATTAGTTATAATTTCAGTTTAAGAATAATACCATTGAATAAACAATATGATAGAATAAAAAATTTGGCTGGATCTGAATGCACAATATTAAGTCGTGAGATTTTGAATTAAAAAGAATAAGTTTACAATTCTAGTTTAATAAATATGAAGAGTGTTGTTTTTAATGAAAGTTCTTAGGATTATAATTTAGATTCTCTAATTGTATATTTTAATCCAGATTAAAATTCAATAGGTTATTTATAATTAGAAGTATCATGTAATTCAGTTGCAATAGCAATATATTCATAAGATCCTCCTTATTAATTTTAATCTTTTTAGACTAATTATTCATTAAGAATTAATTTTTAAACATTTCCATGTTAAAGAGGAGAATATAAAAAACCAGATGGAACATGTGTATTATGTGATGCTCAATTCGATTAGTATAATATAAGGGCAGGAGAGTAATGTTAAATAAAAGATTAATTAACAATGGATTAAGTAAATGCAGCAAGAGTAAAATTAAAACCATATTATTGGAGACCATATGAATATAGTCATACTATTGAATATTGTCAAAATTTACCAGAGAATTGTATAGGTGGTTGGAATCCTGGTAATGATTTATGTGTATCTGCTCATGTTGGGGCTCTTTGTGAATAATGTGATATTTATGATATTAGAGGAGATGGTAAATATTCATTAAGTTCTTTATATAAATGTGGAAGTTGTGAAAATATTGGTGATAATACTATTAAGATTGGTCTTATTAGTTTATGGACTATGATATCAATTTTAATTTCTGTTAAAGGTACCGTTGATACTGCTAACAAAATGGAATATGAACATAAATTATCAAAATTGAAAATATTTGCTAAAAATCCGAAAGCTGGTTTTGGTGGAATTCTTATTAAAGTGTTAACTAATTATTTACAAATTGTTGGTGCAATATCAACTTTTTAATTATAATTACCAAGTGTTTTATAATCAAGTATTCGTTCTGTTAGTAATCCAGTGGAATCTATGAGTTTTTCATTAGATTGTTTTTTAATTACAGTATCTGATATTGATATCATATACTTTAGAATGATATGGGCTCTTATAATGCCTGTTATTTATATTATTAGCTTTTTAACCCTTTATACCTTAGCTATTTTGATTAATATTACTAAACCCAATAAAAGTGCTATTACAACAAGTGCAATCTATTTATTCACATATCTTTAACCAACTCTCTTAGGAGGATTTATCTCTTTATTATCCTTTAGATAGATATCAGATATCTATTGGATTTAAGGAAATGTTGCTTATAGATATGATACATAAACTCATTTTAGATGGATGATTACTTTTATTTTACCTTCTACTTTATGTCTTTCTCTTCTAATCCCAATTTATATGTTTACAAGTCTATATTATAAGAAAACTTAATTAAATGATCTTGAAACTAGAAAGACTTGGGGTTATTTATATAACGAATATTCACCTAAAGCTTACTTTTGGGAGATTGTCAAAATTCTGTAAAAAGGATTCATGATTGTATTCTTAACCTTTTATGAAGATTTGATCATCATTAAAGCTGCTTTGATTTTTATAATTACCTTTGTATATTCAATTTTTACTAAGAAGTTTTAACCTTATAAATTAACGTATTTAAACTTTATTGATGAGATCAGTACTCTTGTTTGTGAAACTTCAATTGTACTTGGCATGACTATATATTCAGCTTCTACTTCAGATAATCAAGAAATTATTTGGCCTTTTTATATTATTTTAATATGCATAAATACTATTTTTATATCAGTAATTCTTTGGGAAATTGTACTTGCTTAATTAGAAGATTAATAAGAGAATATTGATAAGCTTAGAGAGAAAATAAATTAAAAGTTACCTAATTTATAGACTAAAAATTGGTTATTTCGTAGATTACTTACTAATAGGGGAGAATAATAGAGAAGAGTTAGAGAGAGATTTTAAAAAATAAGAGAATATCTGATGAAATAAGTTAGGGCTAATCCTGGTCGATATAAATTACCAATGATTAATTAGTTTGACATTTAATCACTTGGAAAAAATGGTGATTTGATTGTAAATAGCTTTACTCAACTTTAGGGTTCCCCATCAGATACAGAGAAGAGAGAAACCTAAAATAATGTTGAATTCATAAGTAGAGCTAAAGTCTATCCAGAATTTCTAATAATAAATAAAATTGATCATATTAAAGGATAGAATAATTAAGATGGATCTGAGATTAGTGATAACTCATGAATAAATAATATTATATAATTAATAATAAAAACTGAGTCATTCTTACTAGATTTATTATTCAAAATAAATAATTATATTATGATGATATTTTTGTTACTTCAGTTATCTTTTTTACATATCGTTGTTTCTTACATTGATTTAGATACAAGCCTTACTAATCATAGATTCTCAGCAGCTGATTTAAACAGTAAAAATAAATATATCTAGATTGGAAATTTGTATATCGTGTGGTATGGGATGGTGTTTAAAATAATGCTGTTTCATTATATGGCCTGTCTTTAGATAGGAATACAGATTTAGAAAGAAGTTAATGTTTGACTTTAGATGGATCGTGTACTGATATAAATGCAGTTTAATATGTAGGTTTAGGATTAATTGGGTAATTTGGAGGAGCCTTTAAGACTTTCGAAAATTTGCCACCTCATTGCCAAATATATTTTTCTGTAGATATGGCTATGTAATTAAGAATACTAATAATTAGAAAGGGAAAGTCAGTTCCACCTTCTAAACTATATGCATTGATAGATACTTTAGCAGTTGCTGTCTATACTGTAAATCCAGGTAGTTAGGAATTCTTTTATGAATCTGTTACTTTATCAGGAATCTTTTCTCATAACTCTCCATTTTTAATTATTGAGTTTGCATCTGGATTCTTCGTTAATCATGATAGATCAATGGGTATTCGGAATATAAAAATCTAATATACTCCATGTCCTGTAGGATGTTAGATTTGTTCAATAAAGGAAACCTAAACATAATGTTCTCAATGGATTCTAAATTATTAAGGAATTCGTTTCGGTCCAACTATTAGCAATGATGGTTGGTAAATAACGAATTTGATATCAATTACCAATCCATAATAAATTTATAATCTAGTATCCTATACATATTGTTTATCACCAGGTTTAGGTCCTTTTGGATAAAATTAAGATGTTACTAAATCTTTTTTTTTGGATCCACATTATGAAGTTAGATTTGTTTTCTACTTAATAACATAGAAAACTGACACAAGATTTCCACATGTTATTGTAGTTAGAATAGATGGACTTGAAGTTCATTCCTTTAATATTAAAAGTGTAGATCCTTAAATCAACTTCTGTTAATGGGAATCCTACGATCATAATGTCAGAAAGGCAATGTAAATGACAAAAAAAGTAGATTTTAACTTGAGAAATAATAAACGCTAAATCACATTTTCTCTTTAAATTTAATCCATTTCTGTACCAATAATTGTTGATTAAATTCTTTTAAAAGATTTTCAAGTCTTTATAAAAAAATGTTATTCAGAACCTAACTTTTCTTGTGATGAATGTGCTGGTCCTGAAAAGTAGGATTGTATTCAAAAAGCATAGTTGATAAATTTTTAGTAAATTGCTTCAAAAGATTTCGCAGTAGGTCATGGATGGTAAGTCATATTACCAGAAGTTGGAGGTGTTTAAATTTGCAATTCTAAACCCTACTTTGGATTAGATTCAACAAAAGTTACCACTTATTAAATTTAAAAGTTTTTTACAATTAACGAACCTCATTAAGAAATTGAAATTTCCTTTACAATAAATAAAATAGATAAATATATAGCTGAGAAATTTTAAATTTTTTTAGATGATGTTATGCTTGATGAAATCTTATTTTCAACTGCTATTGGAGAATTTAGTTAATGTGGTAGTAGTGATATTGATGGATAAATTAATTATTATAAGAAAATTGCTCATACACGTACACTATCTCTCATAACAATTAAATCTACTCAAACAACTACAACTGGTATCATTAATACTAATATTTTTAGGCATTTATGGAATATTCAATTTCAAACTTAAAATTAGAAATGGATTAGAATCTACAGATTTATATAAAGATCTAATATCAGGCTTTAATACTAATTCAAATAATTGGAATGATTGGGTGATAACTAAATTATCTAATGATTTATCTTTATATATTTGTGATAGTTCTGTGACTCTTTTAGGTAAATTATAACCAGAAATGTAAATAAGAAGATTTATTACAAATATAGCCATTCATACTTAGATGAAAATAGAATTTACTCTTTATTTATTTACTAATCAATTTGATGGAAAGAATTAATATCTAATTCTAAATAATTAAACTATTTGGAATTAAAAGATAAAATGGTTTTCATAAAAAACTTGTAATGATAATTTAGATACATTTATCATCAAAGGAGATATCCTAATAAAACATGATTTAGATTATGCCTTTTTTATTTGGAAAAGTAGTGTAATAAATCCATCAGCATCTTGGGGAATTACAGAATTTAATTTATTTATTTCATGAATTAATACTAATTAAATTTTATAGTAATTTCATTAATATTTTCATTTTTTCAATATTATATTTAAATTAGACTTCAGATGAGCTGAAGAACTAGAACATCTTTTTAATTCCATTGGTCTACAAGAAACTTATTGATGCAGAGAATTCTATACTTTCTTCTTGATATTTAATGTAGATAACATGTTTTAAATCTAAAAACAAATTTTATTTCAAAAAAATACTTAATTTTTATCAAATGAAGGGCGGTCTGATAAAATTGTTGAAAATATTGGTTTTTAATCCTAATTTTTATTTTAAGGTTTCTCTTTGATTAAATTTTAAAAAGATTTACGCTATAACGATTAAGGTATAATATTTTAAGGTGTATAAGAAAATTTTTTAGAAAAATTTAATTATTTTTCAATATCTTATAAATTTAATTTTAGATCTTTCTTTTTATTTTACAATTTATTAGTTTTATTATTATTATTATTATTATTATTATTATTATTATTATTATTATTAGTTTGTTTTCTCAATTAGAGTAATTTTAAATCAATTATATGATCACTTTACACTCGTAATTTATTTTTCAATTAAAATACATCTTTGAAGGAATCATTAACAAAATTAAAAAAATCATAAAGATCATCACAACTATCAAATTGTCCAGCATCATTTTATTAATTTAAATTACTCACATCCATTTATAAGAATTCTTGATGTATATTAGTTTTCAAATTAAAGGAAATAGGCATTTCTTTAATTTATTAAGTTTTTATAATAGACCAATCAATAGAAGCAAACCAAGGGTTTTTTTTAAGAGTTGAAAAATCATGAATTCTTTTATTATAATCTTTTTCTAACAAATTCTATAGTAGAGACAAAACATCAGAATTTAATTCATCTGAAAAAGTGATTTCCTCATTTTAAATTTTATAGAATATTTCTTCTGTATTTTAAGAATAATGAGGTGGTAAACCAATCAATAATTCATAAAGTAAGCAACCCAAAGTGTAAAAATCAGCTGAATAAGAGTATCCTTAACGACTGACAACTTCAGGTGGCATATATTCAGGAGATCCACAAAAACTATTTGCAAGTTCATCATCCTTTAAATCAAGTTTGGAGAGTCCAAAATCTGTAAGTTTGATATGGCCTTTAAGATCGATTAAGATATTCTCAGGCTAAAGTCATAATTTTATTTATTACTTTGAGATCTCGATATAAAATATAATGTTGATGTAATTCTTCTAAAGCACAAATAACTTCACAAATGTATAACTTTGCTTCCTCATCTGTGAAACGTTAATGTTAAAGATGATAAAACATTTCACCTCCAGGTAAATATTCCATAAGAAAACATAAGTGATTTTTGATTGCAAAGGTCGCATACAATGGAATGACAAATTTTGAGTTATTTAAAATTTATGATAAGATTTTCTTTTCTCTTAGTACTTGTTCTAGACGTCTACAATCAGTTATGTATTGTTTTTTTATCATTTTAAGTGCAAATAATCTACCAGAAGTGGTATGTCTGACTAAATAGACTTCAGAAGTTCCACCTTTTCCGATACAATTTTCGAATTTGAAATCTCTTAAAGTCAAGGTTGGTTTGGTCTATGGTTTACCATATACTGCAATTAAATTTTCTTATTTAATCTTATAAATTGATAGTTAGGCTCAATTATCATTATAATGCTTACCTCTTTCATTAGGTATTGACAATAGATAATCTATGGTGATAGAGTGAGATGCTGTTCTTAATGCAACAATCTATTGAGCATTAGGTGTTTCTGGATGTTGATGGAGCTATTGAATTTATATTTTATACTCACTTTGTTCATTAACTCAGCTACATTTCTCTCAATAGAAATGTCAATACTCACTTTTTTATCTTAACAACTAATGACTAAAGTAGTATTTTTTTAAGATAGATTTCGTTTATGTTGTAACATATTTGAACAATCAAATTATAATTAATAGTATAGTTTATTTACATTAATTAAATGAATTCAAAATTAATATTCATGATAAGTTTAATAATAATTTACAATATTCACAAATCAATTTTAACAAAATCAGGTAATGATTCTCCTAAGTTTTTAAATTTGAGATCTCCACTAATCAATTTTTCTAATGTTTTTTCTAAAATATAATAAAATTATTATTTTACATATAGCTTAGAATGTCATTTCTCCATCATGAACAGCAAATCGTTTTCTTTTACTTGGATTTAATAAAACAATTTTTGGTTCTCCTTAAAATTCTAATGCTTGACCCCACTAAAATATAAATAGATACAATAAGATACTTTAGATTCTGTTTTTGCATCTAACCACATAAATTTGAAAACAGTTCCTCTATTAATATGTCTTTCATATTATTAATTTAATTTTTTCATTTCATCAACTAATCCATTATCTCTATAAAATTATAATATAAATTAAATTACGGTTTATCTCCATTGTTTATTAAAATTACACAAATAACACCTTCTACTTTTAAGCAGATATCATTTGCAGATTTTTAATGTAATTATGGAACAACTTGCATCATCCATTCTTTTGTAGCAGCACTATCAGCAGATGATCCACCACCTGGAACAAATACTTCACTGTGAACATTTAAAAAATCAAACATTGCCTTAAATTTATATTCACCTGTAAAAGGATATGGTTTTTTTTCATTTGTTTTAACAAGTAACAATTTTGGAAAACCTTTTATGTTGTATCTATCCAACAAAGCTTTTTCACTTGATCTCACTAAACCAAATGATAATTTTTTCTATTAAATATTTTATTAATTCTTATACTTCAAATTCTACACTTAATCCCTTATAAACTAGTGGATATCCCTTCTTTTCACTAAACAATAAAACTTTTGGAACTGTTGGATTCTCATTTAAAAATGTATTAATATTGCCTTCTGTAATCTCAATTACATTATTATGAATATATTTTGTTGCCAATTTAAGAATTCCATCTATTTCAAGTGGACCTTCATAATCTATTGCTGGAACTGGATAAGGAGGATATATTCTAAATGTAGGAAATTTAGACACACTCTCTTTTTAACAAATCTTATCTGCTTCATCACAATCACATGATGCTATTCTAAAAATCCCTTTATATTCATTTGTGAATTCATCATATTTTGGTGCAAATGATCTACTCTCCCCATCTATTAATCTATAACATTCAATACCTGAATATTTATAAAAATGAACTATAGTAACATATTTAGTTGTTTGCCTTATCTTATTGATTTATTTTTCAAAATTTAATTCATTCACAGGTGTAACATATGACTTTTTTACATCATATAATTATTTTGCTAATGTACAAGAGAATAATATGATAACCAATATGCTTGTTTTCATATATAATTTTTTTATTTTATTAATTCCACGTATGAATACAATTTTTAATATCAAAAGAACATTCTATCAGAAAATTTTGCAAAATAATTACCAAATATTATATTTATAAATTATCACACCAATCAAATCATATTTAAACAAGTGATTTAACAATCTTAAATTAACAGAATTTATTCTTAATTTATCATTTTACTTTTATAATTGTTTTTTATAATCTTATTCTTAAATAATTTTTTTTTATCTTTTCTAGATTTAATTTAATAGCCTATGCTTATAAAATATCAAAGTTTACTTTTATTATAATGTTTTTCTTCCCTCATGGTGATTTCATATTAATTGATTATTGTTTTTATGTTTTTCTTAATCATCTTTTGAATACAAATTCTTAGTAACTTTGATTATTAGTAATTACTTTTTTCTTTATGAACTCAGTGTGTATCATTTTAATATATTTGCTCTATCAAAGATATGATTATTAAAATCCTATCTTATCATTTTAGAAATAATAGAATTTTAAAGTTATTTTTATTAATCTAAATAACATTAAATTTCTTTAACTATTTTTTAGGATTAGATAAATATCATTTAAAGGCTAAAGTGAAATTATTGATAGCCTTTCAATCAAATTTGAAATAATCTGTCAATCCAATTATAATAATAACATGAATTTTTCGATAATTTTTTTTTTAATATGGCAGACTAATAAATAAAAATGAGCTTCCAAAAAAAACCAAAATTTTTTTGAAACTTTAAATTGAATGAATGAGAAATAAATTGGTAATTATAAAATTTTATTTTTTATTTTTCTTATGAATTTAAATTAATTATACTTTTTCATGGTTTCAGTTTTTAAGGTAAAGGATTGAAATAAAAATAAATTATTTTTTTATGTAAAACCTTTTTTTAAATTTAGTTTAACTTGTCATATAAATGAGTTTTTTTTTGTAATTAGATTCTTAATATAATTTAATTATTCATTTTATATAAATATGAAGAGATAACTGAGATGGTTTTAATTAGTATATGATGTGATAATTTTTATTTAGAAAATGAAAAATAATGAAATTAGAATGTAAAATAATGAATTTCATAGAGTGAATCTTATATTAATTTGAATAAATTGAATTCCAGTCAATTTATTGTTATTAATAAAATGAATAAATCATCGCTTCAGTCACCAAAAAAGCAATAACATCGAAAGATAGTTTCTTAATAATAAAGCAGTCGAACATATCGATTCTTTGATAGATTGTAGCTATTTACAAAGCATAGAATATCTGTGGTTGAGGAGACACCATAAAGAAGTGAAAGATAATAAAGAAGATTGAAGAAGTATTTTTCAACAACGATGGCAAATTCGAGCTGCAATTGTATTAATTGTGGTAAGAGCAATTCATTTATTCAAAAGACTTTTTAATTATTTTCATTTGAGAGCAAGTAAATTGAATTAATTTTAAAACAAATTAGCTTTAATCGAAGGAAGAGACTATACAAAAGATTTAGAAAGTATTTTCATTGTGTGTAATTCATAATAAGATATAAGATTGTTTAAAAAATACGAGATCGACAGAGGAATAAAATGAAGAAAGTAATGAACTAGAATGTACATGTTTATAAACCTTCAACAGTAGCTAATTTATTAACTGAAGGAATCAAGTATTTGTTATTAGTATATTCAAGGTAATTGAAATAATAACATCATGTGTAGGTATTAAATGAAAATGATTCTGATGAGGATTTTTATAATTTAAAGCCTAAGATGCATTAGAATCGTAAATCTTTGGCAAATTTTTTATTTTTGTCTAATAAGGGAAAAAAAAAGTTAGAATAAACCTATTATACAAAATAAGCTAATAGACCTATTAGTTAATATATAGCAAACCATACTAAAGTATCAACAACATAATGTTCTCCGAAATCTATATTACCATAGTTATGTTCATTGTATGATTTTAAAAACTCTATCTCAGTTAGAAATATGAAAAAATTTTGATTTCAATAATTTTANTTATTTTTCTTATGAATTTAAATTAATTATACTTTTTCATGGTTTCAGTTTTTAAGGTAAAGGATTGAAATAAAAATAAATTATTTTTTTATGTAAAACCTTTTTTTAAATTTAGTTTAACTTGTCATATAAATGAGTTTTTTTTTGTAATTAGATTCTTAATATAATTTAATTATTCATTTTATATAAATATGAAGAGATAACTGAGATGGTTTTAATTAGTATATGATGTGATAATTTTTATTTAGAAAATGAAAAATAATGAAATTAGAATGTAAAATAATGAATTTCATAGAGTGAATCTTATATTAATTTGAATAAATTGAATTCCAGTCAATTTATTGTTATTAATAAAATGAATAAATCATCGCTTCAGTCACCAAAAAAGCAATAACATCGAAAGATAGTTTCTTAATAATAAAGCAGTCGAACATATCGATTCTTTGATAGATTGTAGCTATTTACAAAGCATAGAATATCTGTGGTTGAGGAGACACCATAAAGAAGTGAAAGATAATAAAGAAGATTGAAGAAGTATTTTTCAACAACGATGGCAAATTCGAGCTGCAATTGTATTAATTGTGGTAAGAGCAATTCATTTATTCAAAAGACTTTTTAATTATTTTCATTTGAGAGCAAGTAAATTGAATTAATTTTAAAACAAATTAGCTTTAATCGAAGGAAGAGACTATACAAAAGATTTAGAAAGTATTTTCATTGTGTGTAATTCATAATAAGATATAAGATTGTTTAAAAAATACGAGATCGACAGAGGAATAAAATGAAGAAAGTAATGAACTAGAATGTACATGTTTATAAACCTTCAACAGTAGCTAATTTATTAACTGAAGGAATCAAGTATTTGTTATTAGTATATTCAAGGTAATTGAAATAATAACATCATGTGTAGGTATTAAATGAAAATGATTCTGATGAGGATTTTTATAATTTAAAGCCTAAGATGCATTAGAATCGTAAATCTTTGGCAAATTTTTTATTTTTGTCTAATAAGGGAAAAAAAAAGTTAGAATAAACCTATTATACAAAATAAGCTAATAGACCTATTAGTTAATATATAGCAAACCATACTAAAGTATCAACAACATAATGTTCTCCGAAATCTATATTACCATAGTTATGTTCATTGTATGATTTTAAAAACTCTATCTCAGTTAGAAATATGAAAAAATTTTGATTTCAATAATTTTATTTTAATAATAGCCTAGAATAAATAAAATTGGTTTTTAAAATTTAAATATTATAAATAAGTAATGAGAACATATATAGATTAATCTTAACGGCGTCCTCTTGATGGTAATTTTGATTTAAAATCATACCGTTCTTAAGTAAAGGATAGATTGAATTTGAGTTTGACAAGTGATATAAATTAATCGAGTTTCAATTCTGTAAAGTAAGAGATTGTAATAATGAAAGGAAAGAGAATCGTTAAGGAGTGCCATCATTTGATAATTTGTAAACAAGAATTCGAGATTTATCTTAATCTCGTTAGACAACTTTAAATTATAATTCTAACGATAATTTGACTCCTTAGAAGAATCTTTATTCTCCTCATAAAGCATATGGGATGAGATAAATGTATTAATTATGATGTAAAAGATGAAGAATATAGAATAATTTGGGTTAGAATGTGATAAGTAGTAATTCAAATGAAAAGTAATGTCAAAATAATAAGAAATACCAACCTTAAGAAAGGAAGTTATTATAAAGGTCTAATGATTGTGTATAGTTGAGAATGATAGATTAATAAAGAAAGCAAGGAAGATTATTATGTGATACAGTGCCATTAAATGAGATAGTAGCCTTGCGTAATAAGATAGAGTCTTCATTAGTTAGTAGATCATCATTAACTTCGACGTATAAATAATAATATAAGATATCTAGTTATGTAAGTGAATTGGTGAAATTGGCATAGGCAATTACAACATCTCTAAAACAAGAATGATACTTCTGTATTTTCTTAGTATGAAATAATAATTACATATAATATATAACAATATAGGGAATATTAAATCTTGTCAAATCTCATATTCTTCCCAGGAGTTTTCTTCTTCAAGAATTTCTTCAACTGGTCTTGGATCTTCATAAAATAATTCTTCCCATGTCATAGCATATCTATATTTATCTATCCATTAATTTTAATTGTTTTTACCTTTCAATGCATCCTACAACAACTTCTTTCTGCTTCTTTCTAATGTTGGTTTGTACCAAACTCCATAACCCCAATTTCTAGAGATCATTTAAATAATAATTTAACCTCTTATTGACTTCTGCTTAAGCAATTAGTTCAGGCTCTGTAAATTATCTTTGTTTATAATAAGCCCATTTTCCAAAGAAATAATATCTCCCTCCATAGAATGCTGTGAATGCAAATGCTCCCAATACAACAAACTTTATTATATTATAATAATACAGGTCTAATCCTTCTTAACCACCATGCATTGGTTTCCCATACAAAGTTTGTCCACTAATATACCATTTTTATATTAATAATAATTATAATATTATATCATCTATGTCCTTTTGGTGGTAATTATTATGCTGATCTTATTGCTCTTACAGAATTCGATTACTATTATTAATTATCTAATTATTTCATTGACTTTTAAATCTATTTATTCAATCTTAAATTTAATTCTTGGTCTTCTTAACTATCTTCTCCTTCTTCATCATATAAATTATGTTATTCATAAAATTCTCTATCTTCTTTACTAATTCTTTTATTCTATTTCTTCTCTTCAAATAATAATTCACCTATATCCTATTCTTCTAAAGTGTAATGTTGTAATAATTGTTATTCATCAAACTATCTCAATGTATTTGAATATTTCTTACCTGATTAAGGTAATTTAGGTAGTACTTATTAAGTATTTGCACCATATTAAGGTGCTGCTGATTAAATATCTCTTTTCTTTGCATCAATCTTAGGTTTTACTGCTTTGTATTTTGTTGTTTCCTTATATTTATTAAAATCAATCATTTGATTTAATTCATGTTTTGTACACTTTGGGGAATATGCTTCAATTTCCTTTACTTATTCTTCAAATGTATTATGCATATTCACATACTAAGGATCAAATATTTCCATCCATTCAGGTGGAAATGGATTACAATTGTAATAATTATCATCTGGAAAATAAACATTATTATATTTATAAAGATTCAATTTACCAGTATTGTATTAACCATCACAAAACTAATTTATTAATTATATAATTACCAATCCAACTTATAAATTTAATATGCAATAATGTCCATTTGCAAAAAATAATAATACTTATGCTCTATGTCTTTATCCTCCCATTTATGAATTTTTAAAATGATGAATTGTTTTTGTAGATCCTTCTGCAACATAATTGATCCATTCTGAACCTTAACATAATCTCATCTTTATTTCTGTTTCTGATAAAAACTTTTCTATATCTGTTGTTTCACTAAAAAAATAATGAACTCTTATCACATTCAATTTTAAATTCTCATCATTTATTTATGCAAATTAATCATCTAATTACCCTTCTTGATCATCAATAGAATCTGATCTCTCTATTCCACTAAATCTAAGTTACTTTTATTATGATTGAGAAGTTTATTATTTATTTGATTTTATAGTTTATTAATTATCATCTTTAATGATGTGTGTTTTAAATGATGATTTTGATTAGTGTAAACGATATTATAATACAATATTTTTTAAATCTCCTACAGGATTTCCATTTAAATCTATCAATCTTTTTCCTTGCAAATCAACCATTTCTAAATAAAATAACAATCTCCATTAATATAATTATTCATTTAATAAAGCTGGTCTATGTTTTGGTTTACTATCCATAGGTACTCTTATGATAGCATCTCCTAATGGAATGTTTTAAGCCATAGCAAATTTTTATTCAATTTCTACTAATTCATGTTCTCCAACAATTAACATATAACATACATCACATACTCTACATGGTCTGGTAGATAAATGTGATACTTTAATATTTGTTAATTATTTATTTCTTTTTTTTAAATGTTAAACTAATTCCCATAATAATTTATAAGTAAGTGTTTTACTAGCATCATCTTTTTTAAAAATGATACCACATAATTTACAATAAACTGAACAAGTCAATTAATCTAATGTTTTTTTCCCTTAACCAACTCCTTAAATTTCACTCATTGATATAGCATTTTCCATCATCAACTATTTACAATTAAATAGCCATATTCTACCCTCTGGATCTTAAAGAAAATCAAATACACCTGTTCTTATTCTCACAGGATAATTCTTCTCTAAATAAGTGACTATCTATTCACATACTCTTTCATATTCATACAATCCTACTCCCTTTATCTATTAGATTGTAAATGAATTTTATTGTTCTGTATTAATTGTAGTCTTATTTGTTATTGATTTTTTTGGATTTGGATCATATAATTCCATTACATTCATAATTCGATAACCGTAATTTGCACAAGATGATTTAGAATTCTTTGTATAAAATACCAGTCTAACTATTGTTGCTTTCATTACTCTTGATATTACAAATCGTTATTCTAATTTATTATTATCTAATTAAACTTTCCTCTCTTTTTATTATCGAAATGTATATACAGCTTTAGACATATTCCAATCCTATCCTGTTTAACCTCTACTTATGATGTATGGATTATCCTAATTCTCAAATACATTAGTTCTCTTATCAAATCTATCATTATTTACATGACGTTTCAAATATTCTTCATGATATTGATGTACCTAATTTAATCAACTTATACTTTATTCTCAAAATCCTAATATCCTATATCCGTTTTCCTCATCAATTATCCTGTGTTTGGATCTGTATACATTAAAATGTAAGTTTATTCAAAACACATTATGCTTTCAGGAATATTAACTCTTATCTATTCTGTTGCTAATTTTCCTAATGCCAAAGCTTTATAGAAAAATATTCCTATTAAAATTTAATCATTTCATATCAACCTGGTTTTATTGGCCATTTTTAATAATAATCATCATTTGGAGGATTGAATAGAATTTTACTCAAAATCTATTACCAATGTCTCTCTTTCTTCTCTGCTTCAGTTTCTATCTTTGGAGGACTCAATTACACTGGTTTCTTTTATGTTATCTATGCCTCTGTTAATAAAAATGTATCAGCCATTTTATATTATAATTTAAATATTTCATCTTCACTTTATATATAATTTTTATATTAAAATTAGAATGCATTCTTTACTCTTAATTTTCTATAGAGTTTACTTAATATATAATTCTTCTATATTTTTGGAATTCTCAATTCTTATACATACACCATTCTCATCAAATGTGTCCTCCTTTTTTCAATAAATAATTTTACTTATCTATGGTACATATTGAATGAATTGTATGCTCGTTCATTTTATAAATAAGTTTCCAATTTAATTAATTCAGTATTCTTTTATTTAACTACATTGAGAACTTTGCTAAATTTATTATATCAAACAATAATAATGATTTCATAGCAACATGTTCTGTTAAGTGATGTTTGTTAGATGGGATTACTAATTTACATTAATTAAGGTATTCATTTTCTGCTTAATATAGCTACTTCATTTTTAAACTTCTGGCTTTCAAGTATGATTTATGCAAGTGGTATTATCATCTCGCTTTTATGCTATTTTTTAAAAAAGGATACATGGAATTAAAGATTCGAAGTAATAGGCATATTTTTAAAGATCATCTCATTATGGATAGCATAATAATACAATTTCGAATTCATGTTTTGTTCATTAATTTAAAGCTAAATGTTTTTCTTATCAATTGACTTAATAAAACAACGAAATTAGCCAATAATGATTGTGTTTTAAATGGCCATTAATTTATTTTAAATAAGAGGAGTCATAAAAGACATTTCAATAACAATGATAAATTTATTCTAAGTTATTATTTTTATTGTATGGATCTACAGAGTGAAGAAACACAATAATACTATTTAGTAGACTCTAAAACAATAAGAGAGGAATGTTATAATTGAAATTGATGATTTTAGAGATGGTTTAAAATAACAATAGAAATTTGTTTAAACATCTTCAACGAAAAGAATGATTTTATCTTAAAACTCCTTAATCTTTAATTAAGAATTCGAATTGATAGATTCTAATATAGAATTTGAGGAGTTAGTAAATCATAAAAGTTAAAGTGATTAGGCAATTTAAATAATGTTAAGTTTGAGATTAAATTATATTTTCGAAAAAGAATCCAAGTCTTGCGAAGTAAAATAATTAATGGAACAATTATCAATAGATTAAAAGATTTTAGGAACAATTGAAAAAAATGATTATATAAAATATGAGAATTATGTATTGCTACTCAGTTGTTTGTTATGCGAAGATATCAGATGTTATCAAATTGAAATAGTATAGATTCCATAAAAACATAAAAAAGTTGATCTAGAGGAATCAATAGAAATAGATATGTGTAGATCATTATCTCATGAATTAGGAACTAATTTAAATAGTATTATTACATTTACAGCCATGGCTTTAGATGATATAAAAATAGATGATTACACAAAATTAAAATATTTGGATCCAATATGGATTAATTGTGAGTAATTAAGTCTCATAGTTGGTTCAATAAGAGATTATAATTTAATTAATTTGTAGCAATTTTCGTTAAAATTAGAAGAATTAGATATAGAATAGGAGATTAAATTTATGGTATCTTTATTTTAAGATAGTATTGAAAGTAAGTAAATAAAAGTAGATTATAAATTTGATTTCGAATGTTATTCATTTATTGGAGATAAAACAAGATTTCGTTAAGTATTATTTTAATTGTTATAAAATGCAATAAAATATTCATTTCAATCATCGATTATGATAGCAATAACAAATGATAGTTTTGATTGCAAAGTGTTAATTATAGATGATGGTGTTGGGATGGTAAATAATTGATAAATACTTTAGACTGAAGAGGAAGCATAGAATTTAAATTCATTATTAAAATCGAATAAATTTCTTAGAGTATCTGAATAATCAGTAGGGATAGGATTAGGTTTAGGAATATCAAATTAATTAGTAAAGTAAATGGGAAATTAAGATAATTAAATAGAAGTAAAAAGAATGTCTAAAGGTTGTTAATTTAAATTTGCTATAAAAAATCATTTTAATGAATTAACAAAAGAATTTACTCGTAAAAAATCAAGTCGATTAACAAATAAAAGTAGTTAATAAACAATTAGATTTATTTCTGCAAATTCATATTATGAAGATTAAATAAAGGAATAATCTCATTCTAGAAATGGATAGAGAGGAAGTATTGTTCAAACTAATTCAAAGATATATAAATTTCCATCAACAAAATAAATTAGTTTTAGTTATGATTTAAGAAGTTAAAAAGAAGAGAGTAGTATTTATTCAATTCATCCTCCAATTTTAAGTCCTAAATTTTAATAATCAATAATTCAATGTAGTTTAAAAAGTGATTGTTGTTCAAGAGTATTAATAGTTGATGATGAATATTTCAATATTCAATGTTTAAAATTATTGATGTCAAAATATCAATCAAAATGTGATGGTGCTTATAATGGAAGTGAAGCTATAAATTAAGTTTTAGATAAGAAAAATAAACCTTGTTAAATTTGTGGGAATAAATTCTTTAGTCTAATATTTTTAGATATTAATATGCCTATAATGGATGGATTTAATACAGTAAAAGAATTGAAAAGAATGATGAATGAATAAATAATAAATAAAGCATATTGTATTGCAAATACAGGATTTTGTGATTTAGATACAAAACTAAAGAGTTATGAATCTGGAATGGATTATTATTTAACTAAACCTTTAGATTAAAATGAATTGAATTAAATATTAAATGATATATTTCCTATGATTGATTGCTGATTATTATATTGAATATGTACTATTATTAATTAAATAGATATGTGTATTATGGAAGTTAATATGAAAAAAAAATTAAATCATTTTAAATAAATTATTAAAAAAATAAAAATTCTTATGCCATCAAAGAGAAGAAATAATGGTCGTTCTAAGAAAAATAGAGGACATGTTAAACCAGTGACATGCTCAAATTGTTGTAGATTAGTTGGTAAAGATAAGGCCATCAAGAGATTCACTGTTAGAGACATAGTTGATGCATCATCAAAAAAGGATATCTTAGAAGCATCAGCTTATGATTAAAAATAATAATAATCAATTCCTAAATTGTTTGACAAACTCTAAGTAGTGTTTATATTAACAAAAATAGTATTGCGTATCATGTGCTATCCATGCTCGTATTGTGAGAGTTAGATCAGCTGAAGATAGAAGAATTCGAGTCATTGAAAGAAAACGACCTGCTCAATAATCAACATAAAAAAAGGATGCCCCCAAAGTTTAAGCTCCAGTCGCAGCTCAATGATATATATATTACAAACATACATTAATAAATTTGAATTTCTTATTGTATGAATCCCTTTCTCATCTTTATAGTATAAATAATTTAAAAAAAAATTAATATCTTCAATAAATGACACATAGTTATGGTTTGAAAAAAGGTACTAGAAGCAAGTTTGCTAAACCATTCAGAGGACATGGAAACATTAGCATTCGTAAAACACTCTAAACATTCAGAAGAGGTATGCATATATCATTAATCTTAGGTGATTTTGTTGATATTTTGGTTGATGGTGCATAACACAAAGGTGTCCCTTTCTAATATTATCATGGTCGTACTGCCAGAGTATTCAATGTAAATCCAAGAGGAATTGGTGTTTCATTACAAAGAAGAGTCAGAGGTAGATATGTAGAGAAGAGATTTCACGTTAGAGCTGATCATTTGAGACCATCAAAATGCAGAGAGGAATTTGTTAAAAGAGTTTAAGAAAATGATAAAAAGAAAACAGAAGCCAATAAATTAAAAAAACATATTTCAACCAAAAGATAACCAGTCCTTCCAAGAAATGCTGAAGTTGTCAAACCAACCGCTACAGTCTTTTAACATCCAAAAGCATTTGTAGAAATTATTTGAAATATAATACAATAAGTATATCTATTCATCAATATTTAATATTATTTATATAATGATTTAAAGAAAAGTTCTAAGCGATGAATAATATAAAATATTAGTTGGAATTTTTGGAGTACTCCTTGCCTTTTCCTTATCCTATAGTGCTTTGGCATTGACTTAATCCGTATTCAAACCTTGAATTTTAATATTCAATATTCGATTAATATTTATAATACATATATATATACTAACATCTATTATATGTAATCTAAAGACTTTTAATTGCAATTCGATTTTGAAGCTTTAAGAGATTCATAAATAAAGCTAGATTAAATTATAGATCAAATTAAATAATCAAAACAATCGCAATAGTTAAAATAGAATTCGCTTTCTTAATAGAAATATGAATTTACTAAAATTATTTAGCACTTTAATATTACTATATCTCCAATCAAAAACCCTGATAGTAATAGTAAATTTTAAAATTCAAAAGAATCAGAACTAAAACAGATCATTATTTAAAAAGCTGATGAATTGAAAAAAATAGGGAATGAATACTATTTAAATGGAAATTATTAATAAGCTATCATTATGTATACTGAGGCACTTAAATTAATTTAAGATAATGTAGTTTTATGGTTAAATAGAGCTATCTCTTATATCAAATTGAATTAATTTAATTAAGCAATTGAAGATTGTTCAAAAGTGTTGGAAATTGCACATTAAGGAAAATACACAATTTTGGCCAATAGTGATAATTGTTTTAAAGCATATTTAAGAAGAGCATTTGCATTTTATAAGATTAATTAATTTGATAATGCTCTATAAGATATTGAGTAAGCTTTAATAATTGATCATAAAAATTTAGAGGCTAAAAACTTAAAAATAGATGTAGAAAGACAATTAATATTGCAATAGCAAAATTAAAATAAGAAAAATAGTTTAAATAGATTACGTAATTGTATTTTAAAGAAAAAAATAATTGATACTGAATTAAATTACAAAGATGTAATAGATAGTTTTTTTTTGTAAAATGAAAAGTTTGATCTTCTTCAAGCATTTTAAGTAATACAAAAGAATACTGATGAATCAGCTGCGTATTTTTATGATAAGAAAGGAATCGAAACATTAATATAAATAATTAAATCAGATGAAGATAGATTACACGATTAATACAACGTATTTTATGTTAAAAAATTAGTTGATGGCTAGTCTACCAGCATTGATCTTATAATGTTATTAAGAAAATAATTATCTATACTAAGTGTAATTCATAAGAAAATACAATGGAGTTGATGTATTAACTTAAAAAATTATCAGTTTGTTAGAGAAAGCAAATTAAAAAAAGAATTCAGCAATTTATGATTGTATAAAAGATTATATTGATGCTTTAAATATTTTGACAGATGAAAAAGTAAGGAATCTTATATAATCAAATCCAATTTTTGAAACTAAATTTTATAAATAGATATTTAATCCAATTTTAATTTTACATAATACTGAATATGATTTAGTAAGCTCTTTGTTAAGTTTATGTGCTAATTTATGTTATGATATAAATAGTTGTTTAAGAACAGTATTTTATATTAATATAGATGAAGTTATAATATATGCAATATAGATATTGGAAAATGTTAAATTATGTTAAGAATCATACAATTTATTAATATAATTGTTTAATTATTTATCGAATTTATTGATTGAAGAACAATTTAGATAGAGATTTCTTAGTTAAAATAAATAGTTTTATATATATTTTTTCGATATTTTAAGAAATTTAGATTTGCAATATGAAGAACTTTTGTAAATATAATTAGGATTTCTGATTAATCTTTTTTATTGCAATTAGATAATCCATTCAGAATAATTGATTTTCGAATTGAGAAATCTACCGAAAATTATGGAATCTTTTAGTAATTCTAAAAATGGTATAATATTGGAGAGAATAGAAATTCTTCAATCTTTTCTTTAAATTAATAAAGAATTATGGATATAGGTAGAGAATTAGAAATAGTTGAGATGAATATAGGTTGATAATTAAATAAAGTTTGATTTGTTTATATTTTAGTATATAGTGTTATATAAAATTCGATTATTTAATCAAAATATTATAATGTAGTCTTTAACTCGTCCCTAATAGCAATTATAAGAGATTTTGAAATAGAATAATAAAAAGATGTATAGATAATAGTAATTAGTAGTAGTGTGAGTAAAAGTAATGTGAAATTAAGTCAATCCTTTAATCCAAATGGTTTAAAGAGTTAGAGTCCAACTCATAAATCGAATTAGAGTACTGGATTATAGGGGATTGATTTGAAATAAATACAAAGAGGTTAGGGATAAGTGTAATATGGAAAATAATATAAAAAGGAATTATTGAAATTAATGACTAGTCATTAGTAAATATCTTCTTAGAAATAAAATCAGAAAAATAATAATTCAGATACATTGAATAATTTAAAGACTATTGCTACAACAGATACAAGAAGAACCACTTCTAATTAACTTTAGAAATCATTCATCTCGATAATTAAAAAAAACTAAAGTATTTTAAGTGTAGTAAACTAAATTGTTATAGTGGTTCATTATATGAATAAGGAATATAGATTTACAATAGATTCATAAAAAAGTACAGGTTAAATGATGGAATATTTGAAATAAGAAATGATAAAATATTCAGTAAATTAATATTCATCAACTGGATCTTAAAAGGACGAAATGAAAATTATTATTGGAGTAGATAATTAAAATAAAGATATAGAAATTGTAAACTTTCATACTGTTGATAAGAATTTGCCAATTGATTTTTACTTATAATAATTAGATAAACCTTTGGATATATTTAATGGATAAACATTAAATTTATAACCATTCTATAGTATACCTTAAGGATAGTAAATAACTTTGAAAGACTTTATTTTTATAAAATGTATAGGAATAGGGGGATTTTCAAGAGTGTATCTTGTTAAAATGAAATAGGATGGAAGATTTTATGCGATAAAATTAATAGATAAATAATTTATTCTAAAATATAAAAAATAAGGTAGATGATAAAATTAATAATTTTAGGTATTGTTTAAAATGAAAGAGATATAATGACAGTATTAGATCATCCATTTATAAATAAGTTAATGTTTGCTTTTGAATCTAAGAATTTCATAGTTTTTGTTTTAGAATTTTGTAGCGGTGGAGAATTATTTTGGTAATTAAGATAAGTAAAAAGAATGACTGAAGAATAAGCAAGATTTTATTTTGCTGAAATATGTTTAGCAATGTGTTATTTACATTCATTATCTGTTGTTTATAGAGATATAAAACCAGAAAATATTTTAATAGATATGGATGGACATATTAGAATAGCTGATTTTGGATTATCAAAACCTAATATGTCAGAAGAAGATTATGCATATAGTTTTTGTGGTTCACCAGAATATATGGCACCTGAAATGTTATTGAAAGTTGGTCATAATATTTAAGTAGATCATTATTGTTTAGGTGCTCTACTATATGAATTAGTTATTGGATTACCACCGTATTATTCTAGAAATACTGAAGAAATTTATTAATCTATTTTAACTGAAGAATTAACATTCCCAAATTAAATCAATTTAACTGATCAAATCAAAGATTTACTATAAGGTCTCTTATGCAAAAGACCTTCAGATCGTTTAGGTTCTAATCATGGTTTATAAGAATTAATGCTTCATCCTTGGTTTTAAGATTGTAATTGGCTTTCAATTTTAAATAAATAAATTCAACCTCCATTTAAACCTAATTAATTGTAATTTCATTATGATTCAAATGAATTACTTAAAGGAGAATTAGAAACCAGAGAAAAAATACTTGGAAAAACTGGTTTACTATAAGATATCTAAATTTTCAAGTCTTTCTATTTTGATTCTAAAAAATAAAGATAAATGAAAATAGAACAGAATAAAGTTCTTAAATACCATTTTCAAATGATCTCATCAATCCAAATGTAATTGACTCATAAGTATAATCCTTAATAGAATATATCAAATAATTAATCTAAACCTTAATTATCAGGATCTCGTTATATTAATGAGAAATAAAAATTGAATACAGAATAACCATATTCTTTATAAAAACGTATAACAACTTAGTATTATTATTTAATTAGATTTATAGGTAATCATCTTTTGTTTAACCTTTTTAGACTAACACATTGAAGATTCCTTAATAATAAAAAATGATTGTTTTGAAAAGAATAAAATCTTAAAATAATTTTTTCATAGATAGATTAAACACATCTCCTTCAAGTATGGGATATTATTCAAAAGACAATACAAATTACAAAATTTTACTATAAAAAGGAATATCAACCATTAATTTAAAAGAAAGAGAAACCTCACTGAAAAAGAGAAAAAAATGATAAAAGTTTATAAGAGATCTACTTATATGTTTTAATTTAAATTATTGTTAAAATCATAATCCTTTTTTCAATATTGAAGTAGTTGGATATCTGGATATTTAAAATTTTTTTCCTGTCTGCTTTTAATATATAATTAAATCTTCACTCACCATAACTGGTGGATCACATTCATCAAAAACTAAAACAATTTCTAATTCATTAAAACTGACTTTTCTTGATTCTTTTTTTTCAGAATTCAGTCTGTTGATAAAAAATGTTTCTCTTAATTCTTTTACTTATGAAATACTTGGCTCATCTTCATAATTTACTTCGTCTATTGAAGTATCTGTGCTGTTGTATTAGGATTACATTATTTGAATATTTTTATTAATATTAATAAGATTTATGGTGCAATACTCAACAACATTTAACAGAGATTACAAATATATATAAATTTAATTTCAATTATAATCTAAAAATATCAAATATTTTATAAGTGTATATTATTTATTTTTTCATAATAAATTGAGTTTATTAAATTAATTAAAATGTATTTAAGTTACTATTTCCATTAAATTCTTTCTCCTTTATAAAACAAAAAGAGCTTTAATTAAATGTTAACAAATTTATAATATGAGTTGTAATTTATATCAATTCTTTTTCTAAATAAACTTCCCATTTGATATTTAAACTTTTTCTAATGAAATTTTTTTATTTATTTATATTTTATTATCTCTCAAGATTGTTTCTAAAAACTTCTTATCAGAATATTTGTTTAATAATTCTTTTGAATCATTTCCATTCTATTATGAATATTAATATTTAAAATTTTTAATTAAAATGAGAGTGTCCTAATAAACATCTTAATTAATAGATTATATGTTAGTGACTTCTTATTTGCCTAATTTTTGTGGTGAATATTATTAAGAGGCTCCAGAATTAAGTTTTTGCATATTATCAATACATTTTTCATACCAATCAGAGAGATAAAGGAAAATGTGATGTTTCTCCTTTGAAAATATTTTTAAATTAAGATACTTTCATCTTGAGCTTGGGATTTAGACGAAGCTTTGTTTAAGCTGTTACTTCTAATTAAGACTACTACGGTACCAATAAGGGATTCAACAACACTGTACTTTATATTGGCGTACTTCAGATTATATTTATGGTATATACATGACTTCATCAATCTACTTTGGACCTTCTTAAGTTTCACTGCTCTTACTCTCCTGGTTTGGCTTTAATAATGAGCTTTAAATACCTTGGAACGCTTTCGTTTCAATAAGGCTGCCTTAATAAAAACTAAAGTTATAGGTCACTTACCTCTTCTAATTTTTCTTATTCTTATATCCTTTACAAATACGATTTCAATTTTCTCTCCTCTCTGCTTTCTCCCTGTTACTTTATTTAATAATTCTTATTTTATTATTATTTCCTATTCCCCAATCGATGAGCCTTATATTATTTCTTTTATTGTCCCTCCTATGAAGATTGTAAGCTTAAATTATCAACACTTTCAGCCTTAGATAAATCATTAGCACTCATTTTTTTTATTTTATTAAATTCAAGATTTTTATTCAATTTTTAACCCCTTTTATATTTTATTTCCTTATTAATCCTCAACACATTATCATTTCATATTATAATCTTTTTTCTTTTATTTTTTTATCTATCTTTTTTATTACTAATTTATATATATTATTTATTTAATTACAAATAATTAACAGCCAAATACTCCATCTACTATTTCAATCCATCTCTTTAATACTCTAAAACTTAATTTTATTATAACTTTATCAAATATTCACTTTATTTCTTTATTTAATTTCATTTTACTACTTCATTCTATATAAAATAGTAAGTAAATCTAATAATTTTCGAATTCTTATTTAATTATTATATCAAATAACATCAAAAATATATTTATAACTATTATAAGAATCAGATAGAATTGATTCCACATCATTTTCTTATTTTCATTATACACTTAAATTATAAAAAAATACCTAAACTCATAAAAATAATAACATCATTATTTAATTTTTTCTGAAAAATATGCTCTTCTCATTTTTTTTAGCATTCTAATAAGTTTTTGCAGATTGCATTGAAAACTCTTATCTCACTTATCCAAATCAAGAAGAATGGGTTTATGTATTGATTATTTATATATCAATATAGGCAGTCAAAAGAATCTCAGTTAAATTAGAAGGAGAATATGTTATTGGATTTGGTGATAATTATGAAGTAAAAGATAAATCAAAAATATAAATTAAATAAGTTCCTGGAGGTTTAACTTTTGGACCTTCCAATTTTTAAATTTATTGTCCAGCAATTCATAAATTATCTTAAAAAGATATTGTATAATGTGAAATACAATTAAATATGAAAGAAATAAATGCAACATCAATTCCTTCTAAAGCATAGTTTGTATTTTCAGTAGAATTAGATAATGAACTTAAAGAAAATCCAGTTTTTTAAATTGAAACCAATTTTCAAATGAGATTAATGGATTTTGCAAAATAGTTGGAAAATATGGCATATTATTTAGAATATGAAAATTGTGATTAAATTGTGTATTTATTGCCTGATCCATTACCAATATCATCATAACAAATTAATTTACTATAAAAATACTCAAAAACATTATCAGATGATGCTTCAACCTAACCAATAATTAAGTCAATCAAAGGATAATTATTTGTTGAGAATTTCTCAATTGATTCAAGTTCGAATTCTCATCTTTATGGATTAATTGCGATTATTATTGGTGTCATAATATTGGCAGCAATTAGAGCTTTTAAGTAAAAATTATAAGATTATTTATAGCAAAAAACGAGAAGCATAAAATCAATATGATCCTTCTAAATAACCATTAAATGAACAAGAATTACACAAATTAACTTGATCATTTTTAAATAAATTATCCATATAAATTAATTAATTCCATTATTAACAATTTAGGTATGATAAATTTATTCTCTCAAAAAAAATATTTTTATAAAAATTTAAGAATTCATAAAAGTAAAAATTTGATTTCTTTGCGAATGGATTTGATTATAATAAATCAATTTTTATTTTGAATTATGGAANGAATCAGATAGAATTGATTCCACATCATTTTCTTATTTTCATTATACACTTAAATTATAAAAAAATACCTAAACTCATAAAAATAATAACATCATTATTTAATTTTTTCTGAAAAATATGCTCTTCTCATTTTTTTTAGCATTCTAATAAGTTTTTGCAGATTGCATTGAAAACTCTTATCTCACTTATCCAAATCAAGAAGAATGGGTTTATGTATTGATTATTTATATATCAATATAGGCAGTCAAAAGAATCTCAGTTAAATTAGAAGGAGAATATGTTATTGGATTTGGTGATAATTATGAAGTAAAAGATAAATCAAAAATATAAATTAAATAAGTTCCTGGAGGTTTAACTTTTGGACCTTCCAATTTTTAAATTTATTGTCCAGCAATTCATAAATTATCTTAAAAAGATATTGTATAATGTGAAATACAATTAAATATGAAAGAAATAAATGCAACATCAATTCCTTCTAAAGCATAGTTTGTATTTTCAGTAGAATTAGATAATGAACTTAAAGAAAATCCAGTTTTTTAAATTGAAACCAATTTTCAAATGAGATTAATGGATTTTGCAAAATAGTTGGAAAATATGGCATATTATTTAGAATATGAAAATTGTGATTAAATTGTGTATTTATTGCCTGATCCATTACCAATATCATCATAACAAATTAATTTACTATAAAAATACTCAAAAACATTATCAGATGATGCTTCAACCTAACCAATAATTAAGTCAATCAAAGGATAATTATTTGTTGAGAATTTCTCAATTGATTCAAGTTCGAATTCTCATCTTTATGGATTAATTGCGATTATTATTGGTGTCATAATATTGGCAGCAATTAGAGCTTTTAAGTAAAAATTATAAGATTATTTATAGCAAAAAACGAGAAGCATAAAATCAATATGATCCTTCTAAATAACCATTAAATGAACAAGAATTACACAAATTAACTTGATCATTTTTAAATAAATTATCCATATAAATTAATTAATTCCATTATTAACAATTTAGGTATGATAAATTTATTCTCTCAAAAAAAATATTTTTATAAAAATTTAAGAATTCATAAAAGTAAAAATTTGATTTCTTTGCGAATGGATTTGATTATAATAAATCAATTTTTATTTTGAATTATGGAATATTTTAAAATTTATAATTTAATTCAATAAAATCAAGATAATGATGTTGAAAAGAGAGAATAGCTTAAAAAGATAATAAAATAAATAATAAATTTAAGAAATTATATTATTTTATATGGTTACTGTAAAATTTTGCTATAATTGGTTAAAAGTAGTAAGATTAAGAATAAATCATTAGATTACTATATATAAGAGAATTTTATGATTGGTTATACCTATTAAAACATAATTAAATAACTTAGTTAACTATAAAAGATAAGTATTAAAAATATATATCATCCTCTTGGGAATATTTTGGAGGCAATACTCTTGAAAGCCATAATATTTAAGGGTTTGGTCATAAAGTAATCAATTCCTGCATCATAAGCTTTTTCTTTAGTTTCTAAATCACTAAAACCAGTGTTGGCAATTACATAAACCTTTTTAATAATGCGATTGTGCATCATTCTTTTAATAATTTTGACAGTTTCAATTCCGCCCATAATAGGCATATTTATATCAAGGAATATGAGTTGATACCAACTATTGTTACATTTGGGACAAGGTTTAGTTAATTTATTATTTATTTATTCAAGAGCTTCCATTCCATTATATGCTTTATCACATATTGCAAAAAATTATTACATTAACATTTACAAAGTCATTATATTAAAGTATTCATCATCAACAATTAAAACTCTAGAACAACATGTACTTTTTAGAGAATACCCTTGGATTGTATCTTAAAGTTAAGGTACAATTGTTTGAAAAGGTTGAAGAATTTATTTATTTTCATCAAATTCTTTAGAATATACAGTTAAATTTGCATCATCTTAATTCGATTGACCACTCATTATTGATTTTATTGTTGGTTAACCAAACTTTATTGGAACATCATTGATATTCTCATAATAAGAATTTATTGTTTAAAATTTTACAATTGTTCTATGTAATCTATTAGATTGACATTTCTCAAAATTATCTTTAAATTCAGAGAGATTTTTTATGAAGAAATAGAAGATGGATCCTGATTTATTTGAAGTGAATTGAATTTTACTATCTTCATCAGCATTCATTTTTTTAACAAGTAAATTGCTGATAAAAAGCCCTAAACTTGAACCTATACTATTTTCTGAAACTCTCAACATTACCTTATATTCTAAGATTCTCCTAAGATTATTCTCCTCTTGACTAGCCTAATGTAAATGTTGAATTGCTAACCATTCCTATTCCAGTATCTTTAACAAGAATTTCATATGTAAAATCGTTTAATTTGATGGAAATTTAAATAGTGCCAGTGATGGTGAAACGAACAGCATTAGAAACTAATTGAAAGATGACTTGGCGAAATCGATCTCGATCATTGAAAATGGGAACTAATTATGTACAAAAGATACAAGATTCAGTAGGTAATATTAAATCGATTCTTTTTTATTGGCATGTGAGTTAAAAGAAATCAACAATGGCTTTAATTTCTTCAAGAATATTGAAAGTTGATAAACTTAATTAAAATTGATCTGTTTCAATAGAACTATAATCTCTGATATTGGATATGATGAGATTTAATTATTAACTACTTGTAAGTATAGGTTATATAATATGCTATTTAATATCTTATGAAATAGAAGACTTTTGTAATGCAATTTCAGATAAACTTTGTATGCAATTTAGATTAGTTCCAAGTTCATGAGAAAGTGATTTACACATATCAAAAATATTAGTGTTAATTTCTATAGCTAATTTTGGAACCAATTAAAAATGTAATATATAGTACATTTATTATCTACCAATTAAACCAAAAACATTAAGTAGATATTTATGAATGTCTAATGTTTAACTTTGCATTTAAAATGTTTAATAGTAATTTTCACAATTACTTTGTGATTGTACCTAATTTTCTAATACTTATCTTAAAGTTATCATTCCTTTTGAACACATTAGAGATTATTAACTATTGTCTACTCTTGATATAAACTTGACTCCTTAATTTAATAATTAATCAATAATTTCATTCTAATCTTCTTCTAATTCTTATGATTTTATAAAAATATTGATATCAAAATTATAGAATTTCAATTTTAAGTCTCTTTCCAATACCAAATATTTTTCATATTATAACCATTTACTAATTAGAATCTATATACTTACTGATCTAACCATGGTTCATCTTCTCCCAATTTTAATGATTGTATCATTGGCATGCTTCTTCTTGATTCTTAAATCATAGCAAATGTTTACTATAATTATCCTCCTGTTGATACTTAGGCGTAAGATTGTTGAAATTTCTCTTCTGACTTTTTTACTTAATAAAAGTTTTAAACAATCAGTATAATAATTTACATTGAGTTTATGACTTAATCATATCCAAAATTAATAAACTATTTGAATTTGAATAAATTTAGAACCATCATGAAAATGAATGAATATTATAATGACTTCCCTTTATAACATTCTGATGTCATGAATATTTAAAACAATATCAATAGATTTTGATTTGTGCTTAAATTTACATCTCCAAACCACACTATCAAGATCTTCCCTAAAAATGATATCAAATTTAATTTGTATTTCATATTTAATTTCCACTCTGTATAAACTAACAGTTGTTGCAAAATAACAAATAATCCAAATCCAACTATCAATGAAATTGTTAATAACTATCCTATCCCTTCTTAAACTGATTCAAAAAGCAAAATTGAAATCGTAGCCAAATCCATTAAGATGAGCAAGAACGTATTCAAAATCAATAATTTTTTAGATGTCATTTAATTAAATTAATATTATCATTTTAACCTTCTTCTATTGAGAATTTTATCCAAAGTTGATTTGTCATCTTCTTATAAAGTAGATAACATTAATGGTTCCATAGTAAAGTAGTTATCATTTTTTCGTCTAAATTAGTTACTTATATAATTACCCTCCTGTTCTTTTGCCTAAAACAGCTGCTAAATCTCTAAACATCTCTTATAAACAATTTCGTCTCTTTTCCAAAATGGAATATTTATGATTAATCCTTTAAACAGGAGGAAAAGCTTTAAGATAAAAGTCAACTCTTTAAGTTGTTAAATAAGCTCTTTAACATAAGACTTCAACTAAATTAATAATTTCTTTAAAATTAGTAATTTTAACATTTTAATTCCACCAATTTGTAATTTAATCACCACATTCTGCCATGTCTAATAAATCTAAAAGACTTTTCATTTTATAATCTGGTAATCCACTATCAAAGAATCCTTAACATACAGATCTATATGCAAAATATTCTCTAAAGTCATGCATTAATTAAAGCCAACTTTTAGGTAATAAGTAACTCTATGGTAAAACACTATATAATTATATTATTGGAGGTTTCTTCAATTCGATATCTATAAATTCAATAGTAACTTATGGTTAATTCAACTATTTTTTGAATAATCCTTTTGGTTAAATAATTGATTAAGGATCAATAACCATTGAATTAAATGGAGAACCACCTCACTCATATCAATTATAAATACCATTCATTTAAATTATTTATTTTCCTGCCTTTTTTATACTAGTTAATAAGATTTCTCCATAACTTACTGATAATGGATTTAAAGTTCCTAATTTTTCCATATGAGCAATAAATTCAATGACTAAAACAATTTATTAATCTTTTTTAGTTGGTACATATCTAATTATTATTGGATATTCAATTAAAAATATCCATCTATAATAAATATAGATAAATTTAATACTTATCTGGTGATGATGGATCTACTTAACATGGTACAAACACTGTATTACCAATAAATTTTTAATTTACTTTATCAAATAAACACATTCCTACTTCTCTTAATCTAAATTATTTTAAATCACATTTCTTTTCATCTGGTGATGGTAGTCCTGCTGCTAAATGAAATTTTATTTCATAAAAAACTAATGGAGGTGTCTAAGTCCTAGTTTTTAAGTTATAATCTACATATCAATTAATGATCTTGTAAGATTGTATTTCTAGGCTTAAATTAAATTTAAATCCTAATACAATAATCCACTATTATCTAATTGAGGAGAAAAACAACTAGATATTGTATTTAATCCTTTCTTGTTTTATGCAAAAATAAAAGAATATGTAAAATTCTTTGGAATTCCTTAAAATAATTCTCTTATTCCTGTTATTGATAGATTCTTAAAATTATTAATCTTTGTTAAAAGAGTCTATGATTTAGGTGAATGTTCAGAAAATGGTTTATCTAAAAAGTTAATTAATTCATCCTATTCAATGTATCCACTACCATCTTCATCTATTTCATCAAAAAGATCACATAAATCATTATTATCTAATAATATTCCTAATTTTTTAAAAACTTATTATAATTAAGCCATATCTAATTCATTTCTATTTGCATCTGTTAAAATATTATATTCACTTTAAATCTAAGCAAATAATTCATCTGTCGATAATATAGCTTTCATTAATTAATCCTTTATTATTACATTAAATTCCATTTTTGAAATCTTTTCATCATGATTCTTATCAAAAACTTTAAAATATTAATCTAATTCTTAAGGAGTAGGATTTATTCCTAGTTACAGTAATGCAATATTCAATTCTTTTGGATCCAACCATCCATTCCTATTTGAATCTATTTAATTAAATAAATCTTCTATTTATTAATCTAATGTAGGTTCGTTATTCTCATTTACCTCTTTTTATAATCTAACTGGTTTTTATTGTTATGATACAAGTTGTTATTCATCTTCATTTTAATGTTCAGAAACATTGTCTTCCTATTTATTCTCAGCAATCTATCTTTTATACTCCTCTACATAATTATCATGTTATGAAAGTTATTATAAATCTTATCGTTAAAATTATCTTTTATCTATAGGTTTATTAACATTAATTGACCTTTAACTTGAAGATCGTGACACATTTAAATTTTATTAGCTTCCTTGTTGTTATTAAACAATATTTAAACCATGATTACCTTAATAATTTGTATCAGACTAACTTTACGAATCTTCTGATTGATCTTATCTTTAATTTATCAAAATCTAAGTTTTTTTTTTATTTTAATCAAGTATATTAATTTTTAATGCTTTTGCTAAAGCAGCTAAAGTTGTAATTTATTAGATAAATAATTTTTCTTTTAAAGCTACCATTTCATCGATACTTATATCTATAATTATATTTCTAACAACTTCTTCAAAATTAGGGAAAGTAATCTATTTTTAATCATTTGCTTTGGCAACAAAATCACCCCATAATCCTTTTTCTCTTATTTCTCTAGTAAGAAAACTTGAAATGTCAGAGTAGACATCTTCTAAATTATAATTCATTTATTAATATTATTATTTTGAGAATTAATATATCAATATGTCTGGTTTTATGAGATTAACAAAAATTAATCGTTTAATGTAGAGATCAGAAGAAAATATGAAAAATTTAAAGTAATTGTATGCACCTTAATTTTATCGTGGATATGATGATTAATTAACTGTAATTGGTAGAATGAAGTAAATAATAATATTATGTGTTTAGTTGGCTAAAGATAAAATAACCTAAAATGTATCCTCTTTCAAAAGAGGAAGAAACATTCTAAGCTAGAAATTTATGTAAATTCCCAGAACAAAGAGATAGTTTATAAAATGAAATGGATTAAATGCTTGAATTTATGAAATTAAAGAATGCTCATAAATTATAAAAGACCTTAAAGAATGTTAAAGGAAATAATGTTGATGAAAAGATATTTAGAGCAATGGAATATGACATGCATTCATTTACATAATTAGAGGAAAAGTGATATTATTCTAAAAAAAGTAAATATAAACCACATTCATCAATTAAATTATTTTATTTTACTATATTCTTTAAATTATATATATATTATTTAATAAGAATATAAGACAATAATGGTCCACAATTATTATATAATTTAAAAATCTTCGACAAAATTTACTTTACTTCACTTAGATTATTAGGTGAGAATACGAGTACTTTATTAAAATATTACAAATAATATCTTATTAAGATTTACCGTTAAATAATACTTTACTAAATAGCATTTTATAAAGAATAATTCCAAATACCCAAATATCAAGAGAGGTAGAAATTCTATTAACTTTACCTGATAATATTTCAGGTGCCATATAATGAAGATTACCAATATATGATCACGATTAATTAAACATTATATTTCTGCAATTCCAAAATCAATAGTTTTGAGTTCTTAAGATTCAGGAGAATTTAATAATAATAAATTTTTCATTTTTAAATCTCTTTGATTAATATTCTTTTAATGACAATATGATATTTCATTGCATGCTTCTTAAATTTTCCTTTTATTTTAATTTCCACCTTCCTAATCTTATATGTCTCATATATCAAACATACAAAATATTTTAATTGATATTCATTATCAAATAAAATATTATAGGATATATTATCTATCATTTAAATTTATCATCTAATCAAAATATTTACATTATTTCTTTAGAATTATTTGATCTATCAATAAATATCATAACTATATCTATTTTAAAAGTAATTCAACCCATTATTTTATATATTAGATAATAATTATAATGTTATTTAATTTGCATGCTTTATCTATAGAATTTGGTTCATTATTAGAGATTTATACCAATAGATAAAATATTTTCTAACTATCTACTATTAAAATTTAAATAAATAAAACAATTTCTTTTTATTTAACTTTGATATATTTAAGCACAAAAAATTTTACCATTTAAGTGAAAAAACCTGAATAATGCAATCGAAATATATTTATAAAAATATAAAGCTATCTAAATCATTAGTATAATTATTTGTCTTCTGTTTAGCCTAATTATATTATTTAATAAAGAGATATCTAGTAAAATCAATTCAAAATACTAATTGTTCCATCTTGTTTCTATGAAATTAATTTCTCCTCATTTACTAAATTTTATAATTGACGTTGTTCAGTTTATCGTGATATTTTATATTCATATTTTTTATTTATATTTATAAAATATAATAATCTCCAAAGATTCTTTTTAATAAGACATTTTGTTCATAATTAGAAATATTTATAAGATATCTTTAAATTATTTTCTATTAAAATTTAATCTAATTAATTAATAAATTATTGTTTTATAATTAAAGGTATAAAAACCTATGAAGATAAATAAATCATTATTCGTTAATAAATGCTACAATCACAGTTATATCATCACTTTTACCTCCCATATATCTTAATCTACTCATTTTAGCATGTTAAGCAAAAGGTGAATTATATTTAGGATCCAAAGATAATCTATAGGCATAATTTGCAATAGATTTTGCTAATACTTATGGATTGTTTGGATCAGTTTTATTAACATCTTCAATGACAACTTGTATTTATTAAGCTGACATATTATCAAATAAACCATCAGTTCCTAAAACAACTAAATCTCCAATTTAAATATTATGTGTATCTTCAGTAGCTACATTTGGATTATCTCCTTCACTTCCAATCTAAATTATATAAATAATAATACTTGATATGGAAAATTGAATGATTTCTATTATTCTATTGATTTAAAATGTAATTGATATTTATCATCAATTTTACGATAAATAGCATAACCAGAATCACCAATTAAAGATGACTTCATCTCTTTTTTATTTAATGCAACTACACAAACAGTAGTGCTTCCTTTTGCTTTAGTTACTTTATGAGCAGCAATAATATATTTTTTAGGATTTGAAACATCTTCAGGATTTTATTTGAATGCTTCTCCAAGTTTTCTGCATAATTCTTTACTATATAATCCAGGATCAATGCCTAACTAATTTAATTTATCATGATATTATTTACATCAGCCCATCCTCCAACACCATCAGCTACAACAAGAATCTTTTTATCAGCAAATAAAGCATCTTCACCCCCTTTATGAACTTTATCAGGATGAGGTATCATATGACTTCCGTAATTGAAATAGTATTCTTTGGTACTACAAAAATTAGTCTATGTTAATGTAGTCAATCCAATAGCAGATGCAGACCATACTAATTGATTTCTCAATTATCTTAAATAATTAAAGGAAGGCCTCATATATAAATTTAATATTAATGATTCTTGTTTATTATTATCATATTTCATAAATGTGCCTTATTTACCAAATTTTGATTAGCGAAATCCCAATTTACTAAATTAGTCAAAAACAGATTTGCGTAATCAATTCTTCTATTTTAAAAGTCTAAATAATAAGCATGTTCCCAAACATCTAGTGTAATTAAAGGATTGTATCCTTAATTAATAGGATTATCTGCATTTGATGTTTTTATAATGCTCACTTTTCCATCTTTTTCTACTAACCAAGTCCATCTATTTTATTTTAAGAATATTCTTACCCTGATCCAAATTATCCTAAAGCTGCATCTGTGAATGCTTTGCTGAATGAATCCAAACTATCAAAGCTTTATAAGATCAAATCCTTTATTTATCCAGTTGCAGCACCACCACCTTATGGTTTCATACTTCTCCAATAAAATCTAATCTATAATTCTCTATTTGTACGTGTGATTCCATGTTTAAGCTGCATTATTGAATATTGCAACTGTAGCAGGATTACCATATGTATTCTTTACAACATCTGTAAGAGTTTAAGTTTCATAGGGTGTTCCTTTAGTTAATTCATTCAATTTATTCACATATCCAGCATGATGTTTTCCATAATGAAAACTTATTGTGTTAGCTGAAATGTGTGGAGCCAAAGCATCTTATGCATATGGTAATGGATCAAGAACAAATGACATAATTATATTTTATTTTAATTTATGAATTACTTTATTTATAAATAAATTCATAAAGAAAGAATATAAAATAAATAAACTCATTATGATTAAATACACTATATTATAAGTAATATAAATCATCTTTGTTATGAAGCTGACGATTTAATTGGTTCCATTTCTTATTCTTAAACATTCCCTTATTTATTATCTTCATCACTCTAAGCTATTTCATTTGCATTCTACCTCACTTTGAGAAAATTCATGGCCAAAATTACAAGAAGCACCAAGATAATAACAGAAATCATAGAAATGTAAAACATTTCATAACTGTGCTATTAACCAAGATGAGTTATGGGTATCTAATCTCTCTCTGAAAATATTAATTTAATTTTATACTATAATATTTGGATTAAGCAATTCCCACTTGATTATTTAATAAATCATAATGAGTATAGTATTTCTATAAAAATACGACTCCTAGGATAATTTCATCATCGTTATCTAAATTTTAAAAATTCAAATAGCATCTATATTATAACAAATAGTTGTATCCACAAGATGAAATATAATCTTAGGGAAGTAAAGTTAAGTTTAGTTCGGAATTGATATTAATTATAACATTCGGATATTCATCAGTAAAATGACATACTAATTCATGAAATTAAAGATGTTTTACAGATTCACATTGTAAATTGTAATCATCATTAAAAATGTTATGTAAGGCATGAAACTTTTTACTTGACATCATTATTTTAGATGTTCCACTATCAAACAAAATTAATTGTTTTTTAGATTCCAATATTTTAAGATATGTATTATTAGTTACATATATTGAATTGGCATATGAATTCCAAAGATTACTATTAGTTGTATTTATATATTGTAATTATCCTATATAATGAGATTAATTTGGATAACCTAAAATTAATAAGGAATTGCTAGAACAAATTTAATCATTCAATAATAATCCGAATTATTTACCATCCATTAATTTTTTATAAGACATAATTTCAATCAAATTTTATTTAGTGTTAGTAGATTATTTACTTAATCCAATGATTCCATCTGCAATAAGAGATTCCAAATCTTAAACTTAATTAACCTCAACAACTGATAAATTTAATCTTTCATTAACAAATTTGAATTCTTAGTTATATTGTGTACCTTAAATGCTTCCTAGACCATAATCTAATCTCATTTTGTTTATTGCTTCACATTCATTGCATTCATAATATCTTCTCCGATTATTTTACTTTCCAAATATCCAAAGTGTATCACTTCCAGTATCAACTATTAAATTATAATTTTTATTATTTGCCCATATTTCTACACTATAATAAACCTATTGTAAATTTATTAGCTCTATCTCAAGTGATTACACAAAAACTATTAAAATTATTAACATATATTTAATATAAACTAACTATTTACATTATTTCATTTATTTTTAGGATACTTTAAATCTCATTTTTTAATTTTATTATTTACTATTGATCATCATATTGGATAAATTCTAGATAATTAGACATCAAGTGATTTTATTCTTTGATATTACTATTTCTAAATAAATATTGTCTTAAATTATTGATTACTTACTTTATATTCGATTGTATTTATTTAGATTCCTTAAGCTCTGTTGCTTTTTTAATTATTTTTATAGTTTTTATTTTCTTTTTATATTTCAATTATAGTTTTCCATTATTATTTTTAATATTAAAATGACATTACCTAAATTTTCTTTGTTAGCAAATAAATTAGCCTAAATTCGTGCTAAATAACTTGCTTTAAACTTTAATGAGGAATGGCTTAAACCCTTAATTTTGTCAGATTAGAAAATAAATCAATTAGTTCCAAATTTCTTTACAAATCAGAGCAATTTTGAATTATATGAACTCAAAGACTAATATAAAACTCTACCAGATTCTTAAAACTTTAATAGTACTAGCAATACATTTACTTAATTAAAAATTCCAATTGGATAGAATTAAAGATTGAGAACTTAATTTACTAAATTATCAACTAAATATGCAAGAATAGGAAGATTATTGGAAGTATTAGATTTATAAGTAGGCTTGGTAGGATATAAACATGCATATGCTGATTTTACAAATCGTCAAATAACTATAGCAACATTAGGTGTTTATGATTTTCTATTTTATAAATAAGAATTTGATTATAACAAAGACATAATAATGAATTCATATGTTAGTTATGTTGGTAAATCATCAATAGAAATCAATAGTGATTTATTCTAAGATAATTAATTAGCTGCAACAGTTTCATTTGTGATGGTTAGTAGAAATGCAGAGAAGTATGATTAAGCTTAATCAGTACCTCAATTATTAGATGAATTACATCCAAATATTAAGGAATCATGTTTTATAAGGAGATCTTTAGGCAAATTAAACTAATAAAGAAGAATTTAAGAATCAAAATTATAATAGGAACCACCTAATTAAAATGAATCAAAATATTTGCATGATATGATGAAGAAAAGAGATGATAGTTTATATATAAGCCAGACAAAATTAGATAAAAATATAATGATGCATACTTAGGATAGAAATCTACATGGTAAAGCATTTGGAGGACATATAATGAAAGAAATAATAGAATTAGGTTGGTTAGTTGGTTATAAGCATACAATAGGAAATGATGTATTTATAATCCATATTTTTGATGTTACTTTTCTTGCACCAGTTGCTATAGGAAGTATAATAAATTAATCAGGTAAGATTTGTTATGTAGAAGATGATATAATGATAATATAAGTATAAGTGGATGTACATAATTATAATGATAGTAAAGTAACAATTCTTAAAACAACAGAAGTATATTTAGCAATGAAATCATCAGTTTTAATCAAATAAGTTTAGCCTTAGACATATGAAGAAGCAATGCTATTCTTACATGGTAAAAGATTAATGGATAAATTGAAATATGATTGAATTATTAATAATAATTTCTCATTCTAAAATAATTTCATATTCTTTTATATTGATTAATAATTCTTCTAACATCCTATTCTTATAAATCCTTTATTTCTATTTTACCTTCTTACATATACTTTACTTTTTCATCATAATTCAACTGTTACTATGAATCCTTTTCTCCATTTACTTCTATTACATGATACTTTCCTTCTATCATTTCAAAATATTAACTATTAATTATCTTTCTAAATGGTTCCATCTATATATCTTTTATTAAAGTTTATAAATCACTTACAGAATAACTATCTGTTAATTCTTTTAAGAATTTAAATTATGGCAAGTGATTACTTATAAATTATTCTCTGAACTTTTACTCTGGTAATAATAAAACTGTAGCTCTCTCATATGGTAATTTATGTGGATACAATTCTACTTTCTCTGGAGATTAAGTAATAAAAATAAGTTTATGTTCTTATTCCTAACATATCTTTAAAACCTCCATAAATTTATAATATTTCTCCTGTTACACATAACTAAAATATTCCAAATCATCAAAAAACACCATCCTCTTTTTTTCTTGCTTAATCAATTCTATCATCTATGATGCTTCCATATTTTAAAACTCATTTGAACAATTAAAATACAAATGGCATACATCATTTATTTATGCATAATATTTACATAAATAAGTCTTGCCTGTTCCTGGTCTTCCTGTTATTAATATACCATTATAATCTCCCTATTTGAATTTATTCAATTATTCTAATGTTTCCTTTGCAGAATCTTCTAGTACAATATTTAAATTAGTTTAAATCATTTTATTAAATTAATAACTATTTCTCTCGTTCTAACTTTACTTATTAATTTAATTTCATATAAATCTTTAATACCTTCTGATATTTTCTATTTTCACTTAATTATATTATCAATATTTAAATCATTTCATTCAATTTATTTTTATTAAAAAAATAAAACTAGATTTTTCCATTAACAATTATAAGATACCAGAAAAAAATATTAAACAGATTTTGATTAATTATGTCTCTAATCTTATTGAATAATATAATCTTAGATTCATAATCGAAAAATTAAATTTTGACATCAATATAATTTATCATTATAATTCTGTTTTTATTTATGTAAATCAAGATATGATTTACTTATTATCCAAGATTATGGATTTTAATATTTTATTTATTAAGAAAGCTTAGGTTTAAATGTACAAACTCTAAGTATTTCTTATTCTTTCTCTTCTTGAAGCTTTTTTATTTTCTATTGTTTCTTTTTTTGAAATATTTCATTTCGATCAACTACTGACAACCCTATCCAATCTTTATAATGAGAAAACTCTTATTATATTAAACTCTCTTAATGTTATAATTCTCTAAATTCAGAAATCTATTTAAAAACAGCCATTGATTGTGGTCTATGCATTTATTTTTTTATGATGGTTTTTGGAGTCTAACTTTAAGTAGATGTTGTTTCTGGAACTTTTATGTTTTTAGGTACATCATCATTTTGACCTTAAGGTTTTTAAAAGAATTTCAAATTCATAAAGAGGGAATTTTTAGTCATCTTATTTTGTAATTCTGGTTTTTAATCCAACTTACACTTTTTTTATATTGTCATCAGATTACTTAATCTTGATAAATTTTCTTTTAAAGTCTATTCATCTAATCCTTTTTATTAATTCATTTCTTCTAATATATTAATATCATTTTATTCATTATTTGATTATAAACATTAATATAAATAATCATTACACACTATTTCATTAATTCCATCTCATTTTAAATTATAATTTTTATATATATGTCCAACCAATTAATTTTTTGCTATCCTTCTTATATTATTACAAGAATTCAAAATCTAACAACCCCAATCTGATTTTTATATTAATGTATCTCCAAATAATATAATTCATAACCATAAAGATAAAACAAAAAGCTTATTTCAAAAAAGTTATAAATTTCACTTAAAATTATTTAGTACATAAATGCCATCAATCAACTTTAAGAATAAGATAAAGCTATATAATTGTTTTTTTGAATAGCTACATCATTTCTATCCTACTTTATTAATTATTCAATTGTACATAATTAAAAGAAGAGATTATCCTATTATAATTAATGATTAAGTCTTTAAAAAAAAATCGCAAATCTCAAATCCAGACATTTTATTTTAAGATATTAATAAAAATCTGAAAAAAGCATTATTTATTATTCAATTTAATTATCATATAAAATTAAAAACTAAATTTAATGAAAATGAATTGTAAATAATGTTTTTTTGATTCATGTATTAGAAAAAAACTTAATATTGATTATATTAATAAAAACATTATAAATTTTTAATAATTTAAGATTTAAATTGAATTTAATAGATATACTTAAAGTAGTAAATACCTTAAACCTAGA